ACATATTCACATTGTGCGAGCGTCCAAAGCCCGTATAATTTCCTGTGCCGCCCAACTACGGCTATTTATGCGCCACGCCACTAGGCAGGCGAGGCTAGCCAGGGCAATGAGTTTCACTGGCACTCGCACTGGCACTGGCTCTGACTCTGACTCTGACTCTGACTCTGTCTCCATTTTGACCAAATTAAATTTCAAAGCCAGTCATTAGACCATTACGGCCTGCTCTTGCTCTTGCTCCTACGCCACTCTGGCTTCGCTCCGCACAGGAACCCGCAAAACATCCTGTTGATGTCAGCAAATTTTATTTATTTGTGGTTCGTGTTGTATTACAACATTTTAGAGCAATTAAAATTGTACAATGGCCTATGTTCGTCCCATTCTCCTAGCTCGTAGCTGTTATCGTTTGCTCTCCCGATTCCTGCGAGGCCCATAACATGGCTGCCGTTTGCCTCTGCCAGCCGGGTCGGCAGCTTATTTGGCCGCATTTCTTTTTAGATCATTTAGTGTAAGTGCCTTTATAATGATATATTGACTTTGCTTGTCCCTACAATTTGTATACTCGTTCACGCAGAGAAAGGCGCATATAGGTTTGCTGCAATGCCTGCCCGGCTGCCCGTCTGACCTCATTGAGCCTCTTTGTGTTCATGTCTGAGTATCCATTTCTTCCACTGGACCTCCTCTTCGTATAGACATCTTAATTTGGAACGTGGACTCTGAACAAGTATTATGCAGTCGGTTCGTTCGCTTGTTACATGCTACAGCTTACCTAATGGCCGAGAGTGGACCTAATTGCCGCTGTGGCAACGTTACATTTTCTAAAATTAAACGACGGTATATATTTTAATGGCCATTACCTTCGCCCACGGCAACTTTTGACTCATCTTGGGTAACATAATCTCGCTTCATCTAGCGCGTAACTGCAGACTCAGTGAATCAGATCTAATTAATTTAATAACAAAGTGGATACATTTCGAAGCTTCAGTCGCATATTTATTGAAATAAAGCTGCGCTAGATCCCAGATTTTAAAAAGGACGCAATGCGGCAACAATGGCAGTTGACAAGATAATTTAATGTTTGCCGTGGCAAGATGACAATGTGCTGCAGTGTGCCTGGTACCGCCGTCGTTTTTTTCACACGCGACCCAAATAATATATATGGAGACTGTTCTTATTGTTATCCCTAATGTTTTTTGTTGTTGTCCTTATGCGCTAACAAGCTAATACGCTTGAGTCTCTGCACTCTTTATTCCACCTAGAGGCAGCAGCCACCAGAAGTGCACGACCTATTTCATTAAAGTTTTAACTCCGGCCAATGCGGCGTATGTGCAATACCAAGAGTGCTCGCCTTTTACCCTGCAAAGCTGGCCATATGTGACAAGGGATATCTACACATGCTGAAGCTCGAACTTGACGCCTTGGCATGTCACATACAAAAATATATTCCCTCTTTAGTCATTCCCATTGGGTACAGGGTACACCAGTGGTGGTGCTGGAGCCGATGCTATTGCGGTTCTCCTCCAGTTTCTTTTTTTCTTGTTGTATTTTTTGGGGCATGTTTAAGTACGTACATATATGGCCTCGCATCACTTAGTTTGTAGTCGCCTGCAGCAGCTGCAACACAATAAGCTAAAAATTTGTAAAAATTTTGTTTTGCACTTAAGTGCACACTATCGTACCCTTGCTACATGCAAACACATCAACCAAATGCCTCAAGGAGTCGCAGAAAAAGCGAGACTAGGGCTGGGCTGAACAGCCATTCGCAGTTGTTAGACTGAGAGGGCGAGAGCTGCAACTCGTTGTGGGTTGGACCCCTTGTCGCGTTGATTTGAAGATGTTGTCCGTGCTGTTCAAGGGTTGCTTATTAAGTAAACTGTGTAAAACACGTTTAATTAGTTTTCAAAAGAGTCGGACACAAGATTCCTATTTAAATAGGGGGAAATGTTCGTTTCAAGTGCTTCGAGCTATCGAGGACTTTTAATTAAATTTTTTTTGATTCGATGGAATGTGTGGCAAGTAGCTATCGATCAAAGATCATGTGTGCAGGCGCGTAAATCGTTGGTCGCCCAATTGACCGCTGACCATTTTTGCTTCAGTGTGCAGTCAACCAAAAGCTTTTACTCATCGCCGCATCCGCATCCGCATCCGCACTCTGCTCTTTGGACGCAGTCAGCGGGAGCGGCAACGGAAACGGATCCCATAAAGTGCTTGCCACACAGACAAAAATAAAATGGTGCTGCGTTAACGTCAGCTCATTGAACTGCTTTCCATTCCGAGCGTCAACTCATTGGAATGCGTTCCACAACTCGCAGCGCGATGATTGCAGAGTCGAGGTACCCACCTCTGCTATCTGGATGCGTGTCTACATACACTTTAGTGACAACGATGTGGTCGAATATTTAGTTATGAAATCTCGGGCTGCAGCAGTGTACGCATTAACACAGTCGCCAACAAAGGCGGCCATATGCATGGCTATGTGCACTATGCGAACCAATCAACTGATTTTTGGCATCCACATCCTTGGACCGTTCCCCAGCTGGCATCGTACTTCACTTAATGATTGCCCCCACACATTTGGGCTGGTTTGCATTTGGCTACGTGTAGAGCGTAGAGCGGCAAATGCAATTCGTTTGCTGATTTGTCATTGTGAGCCGAGTCCACAACAAAGATGGCCGCCACAGTGGCCATCAAATGTCGAGTTGGCTCCCTCTTCGCCGATGGTCCATCGTGCAGCATCCATCGTTCGACATCCGGCGTCCATTATGCGACGTTCGAGCTCAACTTGAGCTGATTTACAAATGAAATCATACGCCATGGCGGGTTTTTCGGTAATGAAAATTCAGTCATAAGGGAAATCATTTTTCCGGCTTTTGTTCTATTTTAGTTGTGCCTGGCCATGCTCTTCCTGCTCATGTCTGTATCTGTGTGTGTGTATGTGTGAGTGTATGGCCAGGCCGCAACTGTTTAGATCTAGCCTAATGTGATTTTTGTTGCTAGCTGAGTGGTTTGTGGGCCGTTGGCTTATATTGGGTAGATGATGATGGCTCTGAGCTGGAGCCAGGTAATGGCCACTCGTTCCCGTTCGTGCCCCTGCCTCTGCGCGCACACATGCTTCATAAATAAATTTCGTTTTAATAAACTTGTCATAATGCCAAAGCGCAAAAAGTTTTCATAATGCTTGACGTTATTAAAATTTTACATGTCATGCCAAAAGGATTTAAGTCGACGCATGAGCCATGCCGAAGCATTCCGGCACAGTCTGTCCCACGCTCTTCACTCCTCCCTCTCGCTCGCTCGTCCTCCTATGGAGGGCATAATAACTTTGTGACAAAATGTGTATCGCATTAAAGATAAAGCTGTGAGCAGCTTGCATGCGAATTTCGGCAAGGGTGTTTAATATTCGGCCTTCGCATGCTGCAGTCCTTGTTTATTGTTTGTTGTCTGTTTTTCACTCCCGTCAGGGGTATTAAGTTATGCATTAAAAGATCACTAATGACGTTTATATACAGTGCCGTCACAGACGCGCACAAAGGTAACCACAAAACCGCTGTCCCAGCCCTTCAGAAATTGAAAATTAAGCGAACGAGTTGTCATCTCCTCAGTAACGCGCCCCATGCACAGGCGTCAGCACTCGACTTGTTATGCTCCTTCAGGACATGAAAAGAGTATATTGGCTTTGCCCAGTATTAATCTAGCTATCAGTCTGTGTATCCGTCTGTCTGCAGAAGGACTATGACGACGAGCCTACGTGGTCTGCCCAGCAGATAAGCGCGATAACCGTGAACGAGCATTGGACAGTCAACTACGCCCGTCTGCATAGCCATGTAAGAGATGGTTAAGAGTGCAAACTCGAGTTACTTAATTGCAGTGGCAACATTTAATAAAGCTAAAGCAAAGATTTGCTTGGCTATGCCGACCCCCGCCGCGTTGACAAAGCAAACGAAGGAAAATCGTTAGAAAAACGCTTTTCTTGCGTTTTCAAATGTGAAAAGTGTACGCGTGTGTGAGTGTTTGGGTGTGCAATATAAGGATATTACCCTATCTGAGAGAGTGTGTAAATGCGTATGTAGAATTTTTATGCTGATGCTGCTACTGCTACTGCTGATGCTGATGTTTATGCTTTTACTCAGGTTGCCTAGGTATTCGCACAAATTCCTCGCTTAAATACTGCTGACTGCTGTGCCAGGAGTTGCCGTTGCGAAGGGGCAAACTTTTGCACATATTGAGGGAATTTCGCTTAAAGCATTTCGAATAATTTAATTAAAAATACCTTTTTGGCCGAGCGAGTATGCCGCATCATTCCGCTGCATACTTGTGGGAGAACGCGAATGTTGCTAATTGTGGATTCAATCCCTTTTAATTAACTACTCAGCAAACAGTGGGCCCATATATAACACTTAGTCCTAGATCTTCAGATAGTTGCCAACTCTACAACAATGGCCCTCACGACAATCAACACAAGTTTTACATTTAAAACGCAAACTTTTAATGCCAAACAGCGCAAGGAAAAGTTTCAGCTATTTGTATAGGCGCAACGCAATTTAATGGAGGCAGCCTTTGTCTCAATTCCGTGCAGCCTCACCTGCCTGGCAAACTTATCTGGCTGTCTGCCTTGTAGCTACAACCTATTAGCTGCTTAACTTTATGTGAAAGTCCGTGTGTGAACGTTTGGGTGTTTGTCTACAAAGGTGTTGGCGGGCGCTTACATGCGAGCCTTTTGTTTATTAATTTGTCATCTGCGCTTTGCAGTTTGTGTACGATTTCTATCGCTTACTAAGTTTGTGGGCATTGAGGTGTCGATTGAAGATGGGCGCCTACTCAGCACCTGCTCAGGGCAGTTATACGCAGATACAGCGCTTGGCGCTGATTGACGTTCTCGAGTTGACATTGATGATTATGCTAGACAGCTTGCTCAGATTGCTCAGCTTGCTGTCAGGTGTGGTGCTCCACTTGAGGCTACTGAAACTCATTTCAATTCTTTGTGTTCTCTCTCTTTGTTACAGATGACGCCAGTGCAAGTGAGAACGATACGTTAGGCGGCGTTGACTATGGGACCAGAGGCATGGGCGTGTGTGCGGACCCTGGGTCTTATCGATGGTGTCAGGCATTAAGCCGGTCGCGTTCGTCGTGCGCCACAAACACAAACCAATCAACGAGAAAGCAGACTCAACAACAATCAGACACAATCAGCGAAAGTACCAGAGCCGAGTCAACAACTGTAGCATCGATATTCAGAAGAGCTACGACGACGCCGACTACGACGACGATAATTGCAACCGCTTCGACTCCAAATCAAACGCCGTTGAAAACGGCTGCGTTCACAGTGAAAACAACGAGAAGAAGAAGAGACCAGGACGAGGACGACGACGTCGAAGAGGACGTCGACGGCTGTGCTAGCACTCCGACCAAGACTTGCCGATCAATACAGCCTCTGAAAGTAGTGCTCATCTGTCTACTTGCCTTCTTGGCACAACATGCACAAGCTCACAATATACCAGGTAAGTTGCTCTGTCATACATCGATATATATCGATCACGATAAATGAAAATCTACATCTTAAGTTTCAAGTATCCGAGATAGTGGATGGGGGTGGCTATATCAAGAACACATAAAAATTACTCTATGGCATCATCGCTTACATTATAATAGTTAATTTATTATCTATAGGCTGGGCTGCCCCAAAAATATTCATTGATTTCTGTGCAGTAAAGTTGCCCAGCCAAATGGTTACAGAAATCGAGCCATGTGTGGGGCTTATGGGCGGGGCAAGCGCTGTGCGTCGTTTCGCCCAGATTCATTTTTATTTGGTATTCACGAAAATGTAATGGTGCACAATAAGCGGCTTACGTGAGGGCAAAGCTGATTACATTTGGCAATTAGTTGACAGTTAGTTGAGGTTGTTTTGCCTTAATGGCAACCAAAGCTGGCAGCAGTGAGCGAAATTTATAAGCAAGTAAATACATCTATGTATATAATCATATATATATATATATATATATATGTATTTTATATATATACATATGCATATTAATTTTAGAAAGAGATAGAAGTAGAGCGAGGTAGCTGCTCGATAGACGTGACATGCACTTGGGAATTTCATTTCCAGTGGTGGCACTAGGAAAGTTTCGACCGGCTTGCTTTAATGTACCGTAACGATTCTTCAAATGAATTAAATTAATTTAGCCGAAAATTGAAAATCCGCTGGGGATTTCTATAGCAGCCAATGGTATGGCCACTTCGTGCGCGGTCGAAAGGTCAATTGCCAAGTACGCCTCAAGGCGCGGCACTTAGAGGGGGCGGTGGTGGTCCGAAATGAGTTCCGGGAAAATGTAATGGCAAGCGCTGTTAGTTGCAGGCAGCTTGGCAGCCAGGCAGCCAGGCAGGCAGGCAGGGAAACGTCTCAACTTTAAACCATGAAAACAAAGTGCGCTGCTGAATAACTTAAGGCAAGTCGGGAGAGGACATCAAGTGCCTGACTGCTTCGGCTTTTGCGTCGGCTTCGGCTTGGAGGACATTTAAAATTGTATAATGAGACCACTTTTGCATGTTAACGCAATCAAAAGACGCGACTACAAAAAATACCAAAACACCAACGGAAGGGGCTCCAAAGGCCTACTTCCTGCTGCTCTCGAGTGGCTCCGGCGACCTGTCTGCAGCATTATCAAAGGGCAATAGACGCTCAAGAGCGTTCACTGTACAGTGTACACACTCATTCGTTGTTGTTTCTGTTCATTTTCATGTCGCTTTTTATGCAACGTCTGAAGGGAAAGGCCCTACTCCCCCCACTCGACTACTCCGCACTCCCAACTCCCCACTCCCCACTCTCGACTTCTACTACTTTACTGCCAATGTTCAAAGTGTTGCCTAAGCTGGCCAAGTTAACAGAAATTTATGCAAATGCCAAAGTCAACAAGCGTTCATTGCATAATATGAAGGATACAAAGAAACATCGGGCCAGTGAGTGACTGATAAAGTGTATGCACGACCAAGCGACTAGCTGACAAGCAAGCAGGCGGTCCGCAGCCGAAGTCCTGGGGCCGTCTGACAATCTATTCTCAGAGTGTTCTCTCAGGCATTGCCTTTCTTTTTCTTTCTTTTTCAATGCGCATGTCTATGTCCTCGCACACATCCATGTGTATTAATGCAGTCTGCTACAGTGCAAGTTGAATCCTCACTTGTTTCTTTTGCCATTTCGCAAACTACTTTAATAATAATATACTTAAGTGCTTTACTTCTAGTTTCGTTCAAAGATTAATTTTGTAAATTCAAATATCCAACGTGGCAACGGCATCCAAAAACTTGCTGCCCCACATCTGGCAACAACAATAGCCTTGTCAAAAGCTGCTTGTTAACAAGTTTGTCTGTGGCACGGACAACGCTGCTCTGTCTTTAATTGTTTTCGTCCCCGCCCTGCCGCACCTCTCCCCATGTGCGTGTGTGTGTGTCTGTAAGAGGATGCGCCATGGCATTGCAACGTTTCGTTGTTCTGCTGCTTCCGACTATTCATTAGCATTTCCGTTGTAGACCAAGAGCCAGGAAAGGCCTTGCCTAGCCAGCAAGCAAGCAAGCAAGCAATTTCGGCAATTAAAGCATCGCACGTGCGCGTGCTTTAAGCGCACGCTAGTTATACGGGGCCTGGCTATTGTATGCTTTGCTTCGTTGTTGGCTTGACAGCTTCGTTTTAAATACGACACATTAGCAGATCACCAGGGGCGGCAGCTATGCGAGAGGCCTGTCACTCCGGGAGACTACGCTCTCAGCCCAGCTCGGCTTGAAGTGTTGACGACTGCAGTCGACAGTCGGCAGTCGGCAGTCGGCAGTCGACAGGCGACAGACGACAGACGGCTGTCGACAGTTAGTCCAGCTACGAGCAAGACTGACAAACGCTAATCAAATGTCACGTATCGCACAATGGATGGATGAAATTGGAATACAAACAAGTTGGAACTAACTTTTCACACACAAATGACAGCAATGGCGAGAGGAGTTGAACCCAACTCCATGCAGTGTACAATGAGTTTTGTGATTCTTGTAATGAAAATAAATTATACAACCCAATTATTTCTTGTGATGGGTATGATGAGCTTTCGTTTCGATTTCCAATCAGAGTTGTGCTCTGCAAGTTGTCTTGCCGTAATCAATATCTACCTGTAATGGCGAAAAGCTTGTAAAAACTTGACAATGTGAACAAAGCCAGACGGAATGGCCACGGCTGCAGGCTGTACAACAGCGGAAACATCAGTCAATGGCCTTCCCACTTGACATGTGACCGATGTGGCTATCAACGATTCCATTTAGAAGCAATCCGCTTCGCTTCTATCGTGCTGTCCGTAAAAAACGTCAATAGCATGCCAGTGCATACTCGACAGCCCTCTACAGTAGTGGCTACTCCACATAGCAACGACCTGGCACACGGCACGGTGGATCCTGCATACTGGACCGGCCAAATGTCAAGCCAACTTAGTAAATCGTGCAGAATGTCACGTAAACATAGAGGCACGTCGACAGCGGAGAGAACGGCGGGCTCAGTGTTGACTCGGTATTGGCCGGATTAGGGGAGGACTCTTCAATAAGTAAGAGATTGACTACACGCAGATTGCACAGCAGGTCAGCGAAACTTTCGACCCATCAATCAATTGATGTCAAACACTCTCTGCGCGCGTCTCCAGTCCGCTTGCTGAACAAATGTGGAACAAACGTTGTAGAAGACATTGTTCCTTTAGGAGCTGAATGCTATCATTAGCGACTATTTTATTATACTGTGTACCTTATCTCTGAACACCATCTCTGTTTTTAATATATTTGCAGAAGATGCTGTGCACATCACGGCCATACTGGGGGAGGGCGTTGTCTTCAACTGCCACGTTGAGTTCCCCAACGATCATCCGGTGCCATATGTCCTGCAGTGGGACAAGAAGGTGAGCGAAACGGTACGATATCACACATCAAATTTCTTCTCTAAACTCTCTTTTTTACATTGTTGTTTGATAACGCAAAAAGCTAAAGAAAGTAAGAAACAGATAGACAAAAGTCGAAGAAAACGCGACAAAATGTAAACGACACAGTAAACCGAAATACTTCCATATATCAAGCTATATTCAACGTTTTCGACTCTTTACCTAACTATCTACTTACATACATAATTACCAACTAATTTATGAGCATCCCTTAACTAACTAATCAATATTCGGTTAGTTCCTTGCATTTATGTTCCGTTCTGTTCTGTTCCACTTGATTTTCAAATATTATTGCTATACTAATTAATGGCCAAGTAGGCAAAAAGCCAGCTTTAGCTCCACAGTGCGTATGCGTAATAATCGAAATTTGTTGTTAATTAGGCGTAACTTGTGTTTGACGGTCATTTAAATAACGATTACTTGTATTCGGCTTATGCTAATGCAATATAACACTACAATATATATAGCTTGAGATGGCATTGGATATGTCCATAATATTTGATATGTATGTGTTTTATGTGTTGCTCGATTGGCAGTTTCAAAATAAATATATATATAAGTTATCTATTATTTCATTTACTTCTTCTTTCATTTTTATTTCGGCATTGAGTTGTCGCCAAGGTGCCAAACGTAAACTTCACTTAAGCTTCGCCAAATCGGTAACATCTTCCTAGCGGCTCGCTTAGATATTCCACAAAACAGAATATTATATGGACACCACACACACACACACACATACACCAAACACTGACAAGAGTAAAAAGAAAAGTGCTTTTCTAGAAATCTAAAGTAACGAAATCAGACCAAAGAGAGCGAAAGAGAAGAAAAATTCACCTATGTTCATTTCGTAAACAAATCTCGTTCGCAAAATCGCAAATCGAACTACCTGTAAACAAATCTGTAGCTGTTCTTCACTGCCAACTCATAGCAAAACCTAACTTAGCCGCAACAATTCATAGCAAAGACATTCGTAGCCACATAGCAAAGATTCTAGTGCAATTTATACGAATCCCTGCACTAATGAAGACTAACTTGGCCACATCTTGAAGCTACGCACAGAGTTTGCGGAAATATGCTAATGTTTTCGATAGGTGCATTACGATACGACGATACGTTTTTAAATTAACCTCTTAGCTAAATTACAAAGTTGGCGCATAAATAATGCGGATTCATTACGTATTTTCCTCAACTCTGTTCGACCAAAAGTTCTTCTTCAGTAAATATTCAGTATTCCACTAGAAATGCCAACTCACAAATCACCCTCACCACTAACCCAACAACCCAACCACCCAGCCAACCACTCCACCACTTCTGCAACAAGCACTGCAAATTCCCTGATAGCTAGCAGTAAGCAACAATTTATTTCCATTACGAGAAATAGAACAAAGCGAAAAGCTGCATTTTGCTTATGCAGATATCTATTTTTAAAAAGCACTAAACTAATTCTGCCTTTTTTCTTAACTTTTTTACATTCCACTTTCGTTTCATTTCATTTTAGTTTAGTTTATACAATATGCCAAGGCATGACTATAATGTAGATATATGTTGTTATACGGTCAGCATGCGTTGCATAACTGTTCTCCTTGACTAACCTCGCAGGTGGTCAAATGTATGTGTGTATAAAGAGCTGTAGTTAGATGGGGCTCATTACGAGAGTGCAAGTAGCGAAGCTGCAAAGCTGAAAGGCAGCGACCTCAGACAGCTTACTTTCATAATTTAAAGCACGCCTAAGCCGCTGCAAGCCGATAAACTAACTTTATTGTTGCTGCCGCTTGATAGCAAAGTTAAACCGAGCAAAAACTAAGAAAAACCGCAAGGATAATAAAGTAGAAATGTAGACGCTGTGGCTGCCCCTGCTGCCTGCCTGCTCAGCTTGACGCAGACTTTGACGTCAACGCTGTCGTCCTTTGAGCGCTCAGCGAAATAATGCAACTAAAGTTGCTTACGTATAATTTCATACATGTGAGTGTGTGTGTGCGGGTGTGTCTGCTGTGTGTGTGTGTTGGATAGATAACGTCGCTGCTTTTTGTGCCAAGTTAAAAGTTTTACAAGCATTTTTAATGCCACAAACAAAGTTATAAGTACTACAGAAAGAAACTTTATGTTTTGCAGCGATAAAAAAAATAAAAATAAACCGGCATTCGCTACAGAAGGAAACGGCATGAATTCAGAATATGGCCGCAAAATGTGGCACGGCAACCGAGCGGCAGTAATGGTAGCATATTAAAGGGATTAACATGGCTTTAGCTTTTAATTTATACGTGGCTCTGATCCGGTCCGGTGCCTGCAATTAAATACACAATGGTGCATGTGGAAACAAGCAAGCGGGTGGAACCGACTGCCCAATACTCGCCTGCAATATTGTTCTGCTGCTGTGGCATGCTCCAATACATCACCTTTGCCCTAGCTCATCACCTCGTCGAGCTCACGAATCTCTGCCTTAAAGCGCGTGGCAAATTGTGTTGCCTACTTTTGCGCGTCTGCTACTTTAAGGGTCCACACCAGGCCATCAGCCAGGCAGGCAGCTAGTGCGGCTGCCACGCAGACTGCTACAAATATGAAGAGAGGCATCAGCGTTGCCTTAGTTGCAATCTAAATTAATTGCTACTGAATAAATTAAGCGGAAAAATGTTTACCGAGTCAACTTATGACGCTTCTGCGAGTGCGAATATTAATTTTGGCGCCCGCTTCACTGCCTACGTCGAGGTTGGGCGCGCTCTAATAAATATATGAAAGCTACCGAATGCCTACCACAGGCACAGCCTTCATCCTGGCTCTATCTGTGTCCCAGGACGTCTACTCTCGTGCTCGGCCTCCTGTCCCGGGCGATTGCCGCTGCCAAAGCAAATTATTTCATATGTCAGCTAAGAAATTTATTAAAACGTATATAATTAAGTTGTTAGAAGCGAGGCGAGACTAGGCCGCTTGTCAGCGCCTAAATCTGCATAGTATAATTACAAAAATAAATCGATTAACTTTGATGCCGCCACAATCGGACATGCGAGCAACATGCCTACCAATTACTTAAGAAAAAGCAATTATAAACAACTCGCCTCTCCCTCTCCCCTGTCCCTTTCTCTTTCTCTCTCTGTCCCTGTCCCTGCCTATTTGGAGCATTTTGACACTTTAAACGAATGACATGAAACATTCAGCTGTAAAGGGTTCAAGTGCTTACGCCCTCTCTATGCCAAGCAGAAGTCATGTGAGAGAATTGCATGACCTGACTAAATCCACATTCACATCCGCATCCACATCCGCATCCGCATCCGCATTCGCGCTGCGCGTGATTCAATAGATTCTGCATGCCAACATAGTTGGGGCTGTGCCTTGAAGCAAAAAGAAATAAACAACAAATAAAGTGCTCATCCCAAAGTGTGCTGACTAGAAGATACCCTGGACAGAGCTTTTATTAGCTCCGAAATGCGGACAGCTTATCTGTCTGCTGGCTAGATCAACTCGGCTGCAGATCCAGATAAGGAACATATATGTGCTTCTGCGTGTCACACACATTTCGCCAATGACATTATACCCGAAATTCGCATCTGCATTGTGTTCAGGGTATAATAAAGAACAAACAGAAATATATGGCAGTTCGCCTGAAAGAGGAGGAGAGTGGGTAGAAGGGGCCAAGGGGCGGGACAGGTTGACTGCACGTTGACCCCAATTGTTGGAGCTAGCATGAAAAATATTTTACATGCACATTTTTTATCAGGCCAAGCTTGAATTCAACTGTATCTCTGTTTGTGGGTCTTGTTGTTTTGTTTTCGTTGTTTGCACATGATTTATTGTTGCTGGGATGTGGCAGCGAGCTGCTCTGGTGTTGATGGCCATGCAAGTTGGGCGCCTATGGGGGCTCGCCCAATCTTTGATGATACTTTTCTTTTTTAGCTTTTTCAGCTTACGCTTTTTTAGTTTTGTTCCGTGTGGATTTTACTCTTAAAGCCCGAACTACACCGCGGGGCGTGTCACATTCAATTTATTTTTGAACGTTTCTGCATTTGCCAATTCAACGCTTGGCAATTCAGCGATTAATCTAACATAAACTGCTCGAGTTTTATTTTATGTTTGTTCTCAACTCAACTCAACTCAACTCAATCGCATATATCTATAATAAAAAGTATATTTCACATCAGTTTTCATGCATGCACTAATAATCATTCAACTGCATGTTTGTATCTGTGATAGAACTTAGATCTTGTGTTCGGCTGTAAATAATTGTTTTGCTTAGCAATGAATGCGAATTCATTTCATGTGTTAGCTGAACATGCCATGCCATATACGATACATAGTCTTAGTTTTACTTGGTTCAATGTCAAGCGTATGTAAATGTTCAAGTATATAAAGAATAATACGAACATCCAATTGTGCTCAGATCAATATCGAAATCAACAATCGAACGCATCTCATATTTATTCAATGATCTTAACCTTTACATTTTATGCATTTGAACATGACAACAACACAGGGCTCCGATCTGCCCATATACATATGGTATGAGAGTTACCCGGAACACATCGAAGAGGGGTACAAGGGACGCGTGTCACGCGTGTCGCAGGACTCGCCGTTCGGCTCTGCATCGCTCAACCTGACCAGCATTCGGGAGTCGGATCAGGGCTGGTACGAGTGCAAGGTCGTATTCCTGAACCGCGATCCCAAGCAGCATAAGAATGGTACATGGTTCCACTTAGATGTACATGCACCGCCACGCTTTAGTGTTACACCAGAGGATATTATATATGTTAATTTAGGTAAGTCCAACGACAACGAATGTCCAATCATAAATAACGCACTCGTTGCCAAGAAACTTCTCTAGAAGTTTTACCCAACTGGAGTCTCAAATCACATTTGTTGTATGTCTATCAACCAGCTGCCAAATGACGTTTCCTAGATTAAGTAACACAGGGTTTCCCAAGGCTCCCCTCTGCCGTCTGCCTTCCTCTTGCTGTGTGGACAGCCAGTTTTGACTGTATCAAATGGTCGGCCATTTGTTGCAGCGTCCGAATGAATCTGTCACCTTGAAATGAACTATGGTTATATTTATGAGCAAAGGCCCTGTGCCCTCAAAGCACTGTCCGTCGTCCGTCGTCCGTCGGCTGTCGTCCGTTGTCTGTCGTCTGTTGCGTTCACTCATGCGCCATAATGGTGTGAAATCGCAAAAACTGAGGTACAGCAGGCAAAACTTTGCCATGCTGTGAACGTGCGTGTTTGAGTTACTTATGTGGACTCATTTGTCATCTTTCAAGTATTCCAAATACTTAACAAAATCGATAAGCCTTTGTGTATGTGTGTGTGTGCAATCGCCAGTCAAATCGAATTTCCGTCGCTTAATCAAAGTTAAAATGTTTACGCTCAGCCGACATCCAAGTGGCACCCAAGACACATCGCGCAGCACACAAAACAATTCAAAAGCCAAACAAAAGACAGAGACTGCGACGGAAATGCGTCAAGAGAAAATGGCGCATAAATCAGACAGCCCTGACGCGGTTTGTCAGCCAAAGCACAGTAACAATAGCCAACAAGTAAGAGTGCTTTAGTCGGAAATGACCGACTTGGAGTTACCCTAAGCCAAGCGCCGAGCGAAGAAAGGAAGAGGAGCAAAAGAGTTATGCAACTCTCATAGACATAGCTCGTCTAAGCTGTAGATCCCTGCATGCCTCGGCCACATTCTTGCACAAAGACAATATACCCTGTTTGCCCAGTTACAACGCATTCAGGGTATAGTAAAAGAGACCGACTCTGCTCCATTGTCTGCTGCAAAGTACGAGCAGTTAGTTGGCAAGCACCGAGCACCGAGTACCGAGCACCGAGTACCGAGCAGAGCTGCATATAAAGGCGTATATGGAGATGCAGCAGAGGAGGTTAACCGGAAGTTGGGCATTGCAAATGACATGCTGGCATGCAATTTTCCGTGCACGCGTGTAGCCGCAACCGAACGAGTATATAAGCTGAACAATTGCCTGGCACTTACCGTACTAATTTGTCGTTTTCTCTGTCATCTCTTCCATGCGCACTTGTTTCTTACAGGTGATTCAATTATACTAAATTGCCAGGCCGATGGCACTCCAACTCCAGAAATCCTTTGGTACAAGGATGCGAATCCCGTTGATCCCTCGCCCACGGTTGGCATCTTCAACGATGGCACCGAACTACGGATCTCCACAATACGCCACGAGGACATCGGAGAATACACTTGCATTGCACGCAATGGTGAGGGACAAGTCTCCCATACGGCCCGCGTTATAATTGCGGGCGGCGCTGTAATAATGGTAAAAACCTATAAACAACTGAATTATTTACCAAAATAATCAATCAGATACCCTAAATGAATGAAACCAAAGCAAATTTAACAGTTCACTTAAAGCTAAATTCTAATATAGAAGTAGAAGCAATGGGCTTAATAGAACATCTAGATCAGGCAAAATTTATTATAGTCAAATTACTTATTTCAACCATGCTAATGAAACTTAACTATTTCTATAAACAAACCAATATACCCAATACTCCGACCCCCACTTTACCACACAAAGGATAAAGCGGCACATGCTAAAAATTTGCATACAAAATCCAAATTGAATGACGTCAATGAAAAATTTACCATAAGAGTAAGTTCTGAACACGCTTCACATACTCTTCATGCATTTTCGTGCATAATCTTCTTCTAAAATCAGCTAAGCACTTTAACATTTGCCAACCAACTGCTTAGTCGAACGCCCCACGCCCTACGCCCCACGCCCAAAGCGAACAACAACCTAAGCATTTTCCAAAGCAAACTAATCATCCAAAATATTCTTTTCGGCTGGAGTGTAAAAACAACAACACATCAACGGCATCAGCAATAGCCATCAGAGCAGATCAAACCAATCTCACCCCAGGCACGCAATTTTCGCACGTTAAAACCAACCACGTCGAGACCAGCAGCCAGAAAACGCCATCAGCTTGGTTAACGCAAAAACTTCACCCACGCTCACTAGCCGTGGCCTTACATTTGCGCTTCGCAAAACAATTCGGCTGCAAGGCTGGGACCCCTCACACAAGCCAGCAGCAAAAAAAGTACAAAAAGTGAGCGTTACAAGCGCATGTAGCCGACTGCCTGATACTCTATGAGTTCTTTAGCGACAAACTGATTTTTCTCTATTCAGAATAAATGCTACAAATCCAAAATACTCTTTTCACCTAGGGCACACGTATAGAAAAAAGGTGCAAGCGTGCAACTGAGCTGCTTTTGTGCTGGTCGTGCTGCCCGCATATACGCCTCGACTCGGTTTACAAGCGAAAGAAAGCCAAAATAAGCACATACCAAAAGAGCCCGCCCCTAGCACACACTTGACATGGTCATTCGTCCAGTCTCAGCCGTGTTCGCCATGATTCTCTCCTGCCCAGCTCACTCTCTCTCTCTCTTTCTATTTACCATGTGCATACAAATAGCAGCACATGTTCCCACATACACATACACACATACACACATACACACATGCACACATACACACATACACACATACACACATACACACATACACACACTTATGTATTTGCCTTGCCTGTCGTCTAAAAAGTGCTGCATACTTTTGAGGGCGCCCGCTAATGCATTTGGATTTTGGTATTTACAGTTAGCCACAGAAAAGACAACCAACACGCCATATGGGCCAAAAATATTGACGTCTTTAATAGTTTGAACTTTGGCCTTTTGATAGCCACGGGTCGTGTGTAGCTCGATCAATACTTGGAGTTGTGCATGCATGGGTGCGTGGCACTTTTCATGAGCTCGTTTGGGTCTAGAAACTATTTAAAGCGTGAAGGATCGATAGAATAAGCATAATAAATTGTGTTAAAGTTAGCGAGCAATTTGCTTCGAATGTGCGTTTAGCTGTAGCCTTCTCGGGAACCTCCTTAGCTACAAGCAATTCAAACGAAAACATTTTCAATCAAGACAACCCACATCAAAATTACAGTACACTTCCCTTGAATACACCAAGGAGTTGGGCCGAACTGCAACAATGCAATTACCAGATACAAAAATAGAACGGGCTCAAATGTTGCCGGTGACATTTGACTGACAAGTTGTCAATGGCAGCAGTCAGTCGGGGGCCTTTCGTGGATATCCTTGCCACGACAGAAATGTAATTCTCTGTGAGGGGCAGAGTGAAGTAAAGGAACCAATGACGTGGAACTCTTTAAAGGTTGCTTTCGGGCGCAAAGCACACAGGTCAGGAGAACATTATAGACTAAGTTGGGAGTTGGTCAATGCCTTAGCCAAAGACAAGGCTTATTGATTTAAAAATGTCCTCACTCACCGCTGACAGACATTCAGACAGTTCCTTGTCTCTTCTGGATCTAAAACTATGGCATTTATCATGGTCTTTTTTTGTATTTTATTAGGTGCCGCCCACCAATCAAACGAAACTCGAGGGCGAAAAAGTGATATTCTCCTGCGAGGCTAAGGCCATGCCCGGCAATGTGACGGTGCGTTGGTTCCGTGAGGGATCTCCAGTGCGAGAGGTGGCCTCATTGGAGACACGCGTCACAATTCGGAAGGACGGCTCGCTGATCATCAATCCCATCAGCGCGGACGATTCGGGGCAGTATTTGTGCGAGGTGACCAACGGCATCGGAGATCCACAGAGTGCTTCAGCCTATCTTAGTGTTGAATGTGAGTTTCCCCCGCAAATATGGAGAGGAAGTAACTGATATTTTCATTTTGTCTGCGCAGATCCTGCCAAAGTGACCTTCACGCCAACCGTGCAATATCTGCCTTTTCGTTTAGCCGGCGTCGTTCAGTGTTATATTAAATCGAATCCGCAGCTGCTGTACGTTACATGGACGAAGGACAAGCGCTTGCTGGAGCCGTATCAAATGAAGGACATTGTAGTAATGGCCAACGGCTCGCTGCTATTCACGCGCGTTAACGAGGACCACCAAGGACGGTACTCGTGCACACCCTACAACGTTCAAGGCACACAGGGTGACTCGGGCACGATGGAAGTGCTGGTACGCAAGCCTCCAGCATTTACCGTCGAGCCGGAAACGCTCTACCAACGCAAGGTGGGCGACAGCGTCGAAATGCACTGCGACGCGGTCGAAGCGGAGGGCACCGAACGACCGACCATCAAATGGCAAAGGCAAGAGGGCGAACAGCTGTCGGACTCTCAGCGCAATCGAGTGAAGATTTCGGGTGGCAACATAACCATTGATAATTTGCGACGCGAGGATTTCGGGTATTACCAGTGCGTGGTCTCCAACGAGGTGGCCACGCTGATGGCCGTCACGCAGCTGGTCATCGAGGGCACTCAGCCACACGCGCCCTACAATATTACGGGTAAGGCCACCGAGTCTTCTATAACGCTGCAATGGTTGCCTGGGTATAGCGGAGGGTCCGAGTACAAGCAGGACTACACGATTTGGTATCGCGAGGCAGGCGTCAATGACTGGCAGACGATATCCGTAACCCCATCTGGCAGTACACAGGTGACCATTAATGGCTTAGCCTCCGGCACCAGCTATGAATTTCAGGTGGTCGGACGCAATGTTCTCGGCGATGGGATGATGAGCAAAGTGATGACAGTGCGAACCCTGGGTGAGTGCCGTGCCAACTCCTTAGATACCTGATAAGCCCAGTTTTTGCTTTGGTTTTTCCCCTAGTTCTGTTTTCCGTTCACTTTTGGTTTCAAATGTTGCTCTGCATTCTGCACATTAATATCACTTAAAAACTTCTGCACTATATTGAGACGTGCAGTCTCTCAGTTAATCTGGATTGGCTCTAACATAACGCTCTTATTTTTCTCTCGTTTTTCTTCTCTTTTCTCACGATCTCCATCGAACCAAAACCAAAAACGCTACTCGTATTAACTTTCTCATACTAATCATGCGCAAAAAATAAAAAAATGCCAAAAATCGCGCATTGAATTTTGAATTTTTCTCGCTGCTCTCCACAAGGCAAAAATTCAAATTCAATAGAAGACGCTCCGGCAGCGCCACGTAATGTCAAGGCTGCAACACAACCGCCCGATCACTTATTTCAGCCAATGCCAGATGAAGCTGGTAAGATAACAAACGATATTAGAGAAGTATCTTAGATATAAAAAAAAACAAACAAACAAAACATATGTAACTCCAACATGAGGTATTTGCGACTGAAAGTGGAAACACAATTGAGACATTGAGAATATCGCCGAGAAAAAGCTAAGAAAACGTTTACAATGCCACGTTAACAGTTACTCAGTTACTCGAACATAGCAGAGTGGGACAAGCAAAGTGGTTCATCCATTGAAGCCTCTTTTGACGTTATAGGGTAGCACACTCTGTTGACCATGCCCACAAACACCCTGTAAAAAAATGACTCCATCTGCTGGGCTTACAGCAAAGAAAAGGGCAGCGGTAAAAATGTTTTTTTTTTGTATGTAGGCCATTTTTTATTTTTGAAGAACCAAGTCCCGCTCCGCTGAATGTGCCCACGAGCAGAAACACCCTGTAAAAAAGGCACTTTCAATCTGTGCGGCTCAGAGCAAGTACTTAGCAAGTAGCAAACGAAAAAACAACAATTAAATATTCAAAGCAATTATACACAGCGAGCAGAAAAGTTAGGCAAATGGACGAGCTCCGAGCTCTGACCCCTCTTCCTCCCTAACCTCACTTTTTGGCACGACCCAAAATGCGCGTCGATCGCCCCTGGGGCATAAGTCGGCACATGTGCGTCCCTGCTATCCTTTACAGAGGCACTGCTGGAATGTGAATATTATATTTTCATGTTGCAGCCACAGCCAGGTAACTGTTCTGTCTGTGCACAGTACGTGTAGGTGTGGCCCTGGCTGTGGGTCTGTAAGGTAGCTTCCCTCGCAACGTAATTAAAACAGTTGGTCGCTCATTTAATTATTTAAATTAATTGAACTGTTTTTACAATTGTGCGACGCGTAGACAATGAGAAACATACACACACACGCACACACACAAGCACACGCACGCCCACACACACACATGGAGGCAAATGCTGCGTGTTGTCATTTTGTTGTTTCGTGTGTCACAGGTCGTGCGGTCGATATGACAACGCCCACTCCAGCAACAACATGAACAAACTACAACAACACAACTACCTGCTGGGTGGGCGCAATTTAAACAAGCATATTACCAAATGTCGGGCCACATTTAACACGGGCAGACTTGCAGACGGCCAGACAAGAATTATATGCCCTCCCTTCCCTCTCGCCTCTCGCCCCTCGCCACTCGCCACTCGCACTCCCACCACATCGCTAAATGTGGCTGTGTAGGTGCGGCAATTTGAATACCATCGTTGCTGCGTGTTTTTCCAACCGCTTTGCGATAATAGTTAATTTTTTACTTTACTCTGTCCCGCTCTCTGTGCCACATTTGTCTTCCTCCCTCCCTTTCTGCCCCCCTCTCTTACTCTGTCTTTCTCTCTCTCTCTCTCTCTTTCTGTCTGTCTGAGTCTTGCTGCCTTTTTTCTTCTTTTCTGTCTCGCTCCTGTATTTTACATAAAACACTAGTTAGCTCCTAACCACCCCCCGCCGAACACATACACACTCATACGCACTTACACACACACACACTTACACGGAGAAGCACGCACGCACACACACACACATAGATATATATACAGACCTGCATACATATGTAAGTGTTTTTCCCCATTTAGCGAATTTATTATACTCGTATTAGAGTCCCTTTTCTGTTGCTGTGTTTGTGTCCCTGCGTGTATGTAGTTATGTATGTACATATCTCGGTGCGTTAGCGCACGCGTATGTTAAACAATAATACCACCAACAACAACAATAACAATACCAACAACAACAACAACAACAACAATAACAATGGCAATGGCAACAGTAACAACAACAGCAACAACAACGATAACTAACAGCAAATGTGTTGTGTGTTGTGTTATGCAACCCTGGATTTCGTGTACGTGTGTACCTTTGGCGCTTGTAGCGAAACACCTACAAAACCATCCATCCACACCCAACCATATACACACACACACACTCACACACACACACATATACAGATGCACACAAACACACTCACACTCTACCGCCTCATTTAAAAAACAGCAACCCGGGCTAAACACCGAGCTGCAGGGCCGCCATCAACAACAACAACAATAACTACAGCAACAACAACAACGATAACAACTACAAAATGTAAACGAAAACGAAAATAACTGCAACAACTGTCATTAACATCGCCGCAGAAATAACAAACAGCAATAATATTTTTTTCGTTTTTTTACTCTTGCTTTTACTTCTGCTCTTTTAGTGTTTTCTTTCAATTCGTATTCGTTTCTCTTTTTTTCTCGCCTTTTTTAATCGTGCATACAACGTCAACGGTGTTAACCGATGGCTGTCACTATGTGTGTATCTGAATGTGTGTGTGTAAGTGTGTCTCTGTGTGTGTGTGTGAAGCGTGACGCTGGCTGCCTTGTTGAATTCTTCGCTTAAAAATTAATAACAACGTAGACGGGCGACAGCGGCACTTGAACAGTTGAACATTTGCTTTCTGACATTCGACAAAAACAAAGTTAAAAACAAAGCAAGAGAAAGAGTGTTGACCGACTGTACAATACTCGTTCACGAACTAACAATCAAATTATTATCCGATTCGCCAAGCGCTAATGGGCGCACTGTACAGTTTATAAGTATTTGTTCAGAGAAGATCAGCACTGATCAAACTTGTGGAAAAGAGACAGAAAGAGAGACAGACAGACGAAACGTTGGACAAGACGAAAACGAATATGCTCTTTCCGATTCTTGAACGAGTGGACGAACAAAGCAACAGCAGGAAATGCATGTCAAGGCTGATAACGTTTTATACATACACCCAAATATACTTACACACACACATCCGCACACGCATCCACATACATATTCCCTTGCGAATTTATGAATATTCAATGCATTTCACTGTCATAATTGCAGAGCACCAGCTTTTTGATGTTGTTTGGCCCTGTGTTCAGTTAGCAACATTATTCGCACATTTTTTATGCCCGCAAAAGTAATTTTCCGTTTTACACAGCATACACTCGCATATCCCAAACCTTGTGCTAGGCTGGCATTTAATAAGTATTTCAGTATTTCGCCTGCCGCCCAGGTAAACTAATCGATTATTTTATATGTGAGTTGGTATTTCAGTGGCTTTCAAGGAGCTGGGCTCTCTCTCACTCTCTCTCTCTCTCTGTCTCCCTGTACTGACGATTCCTGTGATACGGACAAGTGATTCCTATTTGTAGTTACTTGATTATACATATGTCTGTAGTATATATATATTTTGGCTTCCTTTTTTTGGTTATTTGGTTACTGTACCTCCTAATGTGCACACACTTTTCTATATTTGGTTTACAATTTGCACGCCACTCCTAATTTATTATAGGCGTTTCACTTTAGTTGTTAAGTCTGTTGATTTTGATTTTGCTTTTGGTTTGTTGCTTTATTTGTATTTGTTTCTGTTTTACTTGCAGACCTTTTAGCCTATTTTGACATATACTTTCATACCGATTCGCGAGGCATGATAGTTTATTCACCGCCCAAGTTGAGATTGAAAGGTACTCGTATTATTATCAATTTATATATATTTCTAGTGTGTTTTTCAGTTACCAACATATGTATATATATATGCGGACTATACATGCTCGATCCGGGCGTCAGACTTGAAAAGCAATTACATTTTAAATTCCTCGCCCAGTGTTGCTCGTTTGTTTATCTATTGCTTTGTATTGCCCGAATAGGTGCTCCTGCTATTGCCATTTGCCGTTGTGCTCTAGGCCAGTGCTGCCAATGTAGCCATTTTCCTGACAATTCTAGCCTTTTTGAAACTTCCTCAATTGGTAACAAATGTTTGCTAAATATGCCAAAATTACAATATGACGTCACGAACGTATTTGTTTCGATTCCATTTCTACAATTCGTACTGCAGGAAGCGAGCAGCATTGGTCCAGGAATCATGCAGCTTTCAGCTGCCTGCTTCCTGTTGCCTGCTCTGTACTCCTTCTGGTGGAAAGTAACTTTTAGCTCTCAACGTCCGTTGCAAGCTCTTAGGTAGTCGTGGGGTCAAAGTGCGCACTCATTGTGCTCTTGCATTGTTTACAATGACATTTTACGGCTGTTGCAAGTCGTGCCTGAATACGTGCGTGTGTGTCTGTGTGTGTGTGTGTGTGCGTACCTTTTAATGCGCTTAAGTAATGCCTTTTACGAGTATTTCCTTGCAGACTGCAGATTTACAGCCGCTAACTCAACCCACTTTGTGGGCCGCTTGTGCCGGATAAGCCTCTGATGCTGGCTGCTGGTTGCTGGCTGCCAGTGCCAAAGCCAACTTGCTGCAGCCATAAATAACATTTACTCGCCCCTGTGCATCTGACTATCTGAGTGCGTGTGTGTATGTGTATGTGTATGTGTGTACCCGTGTACCCTGTCTACCCTTGACATTTTTACGGCCAACCCACACTCAAACGGTCTCATTTAGGCCTATAGCGTGGCAGCTTTCCCCATCACATATTTCTCTTCTCCTTCTTCTTTTTTTATTATGTTTGTCACCTGTCTCGTTTATATTTTGTCAAATCTGGGGGTATATTTATCATTATGACAGAGAAACTGGAGCAGAGGACATGGGTGGCAAAACTCTTTTGCTCATTTGTGCAGCCAGCGCAGCCCGTTCTATGCGCATAATCAACTTTTGATATATGCGCTTTTAAATCTCTTGTGTGTGCTCTTTAAAAGCATTTCTAATTAACATATATGCATAAATAATAACCGCAGCAGCATCATCATAATGTTTTTTTCTAGCTCAAATAAATGGCTGGCACTTATTGCCTGCCTTTAGTATTTTGGTAGAGTCCACCAATTAAAATAGTTTTGACTACAATTCATGTACAGCTGTGTTCACTAAAATAGTAGTACGACTGAGCACCGCTTGTTGGACAATGAATATATCACTCTGTAGGCAAACATCATACTATCATGCTTGAATACATTAAAACTTACAGACATATGAACGAAAGACCTCTGTAAGTGGGTAGGTGTGACCACAGGAAATCTTAACAGATAAGCTTAATATATAAATTGAAAAATTAATATGAAAATTGACTTCAATTAAAAAAAAGAGCTTTATTAAATAAGGATTTCGATTTTTCCCAATACTAATAATATATTTTTTCATTTGACAGGCCCCAAACCTGGACCGCCACGCAACGTGTCCGTGACGGAAATTTCGAATGGTTTTCTTATCACGTGGCAGTCGCCGTTGGAGCGCGCACATATTGTCAAGTTCTATACCATTAAATATCGCACGGATGCGGAATGGAAGACGTTGAATCGCGGCCAAATACGGCCAGAGGAGACGCAATATCTAGTGAAGAACTTGGTTGGCGGTCGCACCTACTATTTCCGTGTGCTGGCCAACTCGGAAAAGTCGTACGAGTCGAGCGATGAGGTGAAATTCCCAGTGCCGGCGCGTGTCAAGCATAAAGCTATAACAGCCGGCGTCGTTGGGGGCATCCTGTTTTTTATTGTTGCGATCATTTTATCGGTTTGTGCCGTAAAAATTTGCAATAAACGTAAACGACGAAAACAGGAAAAAGGTAACACAGGCCAAATGCTGTATACACACAAGCACACTTGAAATGGTTTTTAATGATAATTGATTATCATTGCGAGTGATGACAGATGACAATAATAATGATGATGATGATGCTCTTGTTGTTGTTGTTGTTGTTATTGTTGTTAATGATAGCAATTATGCTCAGCTAATTAACAAATTAATGCTACGACTGTATAAACCTTAACTACTAACTGCTTACAACTACTTGCAACTAACTAACGTGTACCATGTACCATGGACTATGTACCATGTACCATGTTCCATGTAGCATGTACCATGTACCACGTATCGTGTACCAAGTACCATGTACCAAGTACCATGTACCAAGTACCGTGTACCATGTGCCAAGTACCATGTACCATGTGCTAAGTACCAAGTACCATGTACCATGTGATAAGTACCATGTACCAAGTATCATGTACCATGTGCAAAGTACAATGTGCCAAGTATAATGTACCAGGCTCCAAGTACCGAATACCATGTACAATGTACCAATTACTTTTTTTCTGGATAGACAAAACACTTCCAAAACATTGGCAATTGGCCCCACGATTACTAGCTTTCAATTGACCTGAAACAATTTCTACAATACTCGCTTGATTGAGCATTTGTTTTGCACAAATCGAATGTTGACAGACATTAAATCCAAATTGAATAAGTCACATATTTCGTTTAATTAAGATCAATTCGTACTTGAAGCAATTGCAAGTTTGATTAAGTTTCCTAGTTTCTCGGCTTACCACATTGGCAAAATTTCGACAACAACAATGCATTGCAAATAAAATTAGTTTGCTTACCTTATCGAAAAAGAAACAAAAGAGTTGAGTGTAAAGTAAATATAAAAGGCATTTAATACTTAATTAACAAAAATTATGCCTGAGCGAATAGCTTTTCTTTTGTTTTCCCTTTCCGTTGTAGTTGTGCAAGTAAAATTGATTTGCAATTAAGTCTCTCTGTAAATACCAGTAAATTGCTTAAATATAATTTGCTTAATCTTAGTTCATTTAATTAAATATTATTTTCTGTCACCCTTGAGCCCGTCCGTCCTGTTGTACTGAACCCATCCGACATTTATCGAGATTTCTGTTTTCCGTATGGGCATTTTTACTTTAACACCTTTCGTTCCAACCCCCCCTTACTGAAAGCAAGTGATTTTATCTGTGCTGACCCAACCGAACCCTGCCACAAGCATATCGTTATAAAGTTCCCGATTCAGTTCATATATATGTTCTTTCTTATCGCATGTTCGTATAAATAGCTGTTGGAAAAACGTAGCTTAACGTAAAGCAAACCCTCAAAATAAGCCTGCGACAAAGAGAAGGAAACCGAAGCCAGTAGAAGACGAACAGAACAGAGGGGGGGACTTGGTCTTAAGTCTGCTTTCTATTCGAGTGCTTTTGTTCAATGATTTAACAATATTTAACTTTTAATTATTGTTTGGTTAATTTTGTATGTTTGGTAAAAACCTTCACACACTTACACAACACAAACAACAAAAGTCAAAAGTCAAAAGAGATTAACAAAATTGAGCATTTGAAAAATTAATGCAAGATAATTATTTAGTTTACTTATTGTTTTACCAAAGACCTCTTCAACAAAAAGTAGAAGAAACGTCAATAACGAAAAAGCCAAGGTCAGGATAAACACCTTTATCAAAGTATTATTTCTATGCATGTTCTTGGCCAAATCGTCGTTGTTTCTGCCCAGGGCTGAGTTCATGTCGGATAAAGGTGTTTGCAGTGTTTAGGGAGCATTGAATTCGATAACTATATATATGGAATTGACTATATATATAGCACAATACTGGGCAGACGTTTTTTGTAAACAATTCACGCACAAAGATGGTAAAATAAGGCCCACAATCGATGGCGATGAAGTAAAATGAATGCAAAGGCTTGATCTAAGCATAAAATGATCGCGCCATCAGTCGATGAAGCACTCTCTGAATGCATCAGCCACATTTGAATGCACAAACCCAGAGATCTTGAACCAAAGTAACCAATTTGGTTATTTTGTGTGCACAATTTCGTCAAGTTCTCGTTTGTTCATTTAACTTGCCTGGCGAATGCAACGACCCCTCTCACTCTCACTCTCACTCTCCCACTGAGAACCAAAACGCTACCCAACTAAGCCCCCTGCAACGTCCAAGCAAAGCAAAGCAAAGCAACTGGGTAAGTTTTTCTAAATCATAATAAATCGATGTCGTGTGTGCAACAACAGATTCCGAACTGTAATAAACAAAAAAACAAAAAAAAAAAACAACAATCTAAAGGTTATTTTCAGACAATTAACAAGTTTTACTACCTCTTAACAAACACCAGTTTATCACACTGACATGCATTTCATACAATATTATGTACCTACCATGCCAGGGTCTATCGTCTCTCACGTTCTCAGTGAATAGAAAGCTCATTCATAATCAAGCGTTTATGTATACTACTTACCAACCAACCAAACAACCAACCAAACAACCTATCACACTTTCTTAAGTATCTCGAAAGCACCAAACAACAAGGCGGCACCGCAAAACTCATTTCACGGTCTTCATAATTATGTACTTAAATCAATAGTAAAGTAAAGAACAAAAATAACTCACTTAACACATTACACTCGTTTATCTGAACTACTTTGAATCATGTTTTTCAGCTGTCCTAGTTGGCGGTCAAACTTTCGACCAACGGCGCCGACAGACTTCGTTTTTCCTGTTCCTTTTCCTTTTCGTTTTGTCATCCGTTTTTTGTTCGAGTGTACCATAATATCAACTGGTTTTTCGTTCTTATATGATTTGCATATACTCTAGATTCTGTAACTTCTTTTCGTTGGCACAACTATCAACTGACCCATTCAAAAGCCATTTCATGTGTCATTGTTTTTTTTCCAACATTTCGAAGCCCGATCCTAAATAAAATACTGCGAAGAGCACATGCTATGCATAGTTATGCATACGTATGTAAACCCGTATAGGCGCATATACGTATCTACTGTCCGGGATGTGGGATATAGCAGTCTCAGTACCGACTACTACTACTACTTGCCCTACCTTGCAGGCTTCCACCTAATCCCAGCCAAATTAGTTTGTCCAACTACCTAATTGGATGCCTCGTTGCCTTTGCCCGTGCATATGTAATTGCTAGCAACAAATTAACTACTAAACTAAACCTACAATAAAACTAACAATTGCATAGCCTAGCGTAGCTTAGTCTAGCCTCTATCGGTGTGTGGGTGTATTGCCTGTACTCTAAGTAATCATCTATTAATCTGCTAAATTTTTAAACTACATTAATACAGCGACAACTACAATGGAATAGCTAACGGCAACGACACTCTTTGTTGTTGTTCCCGAATATGTCGTTGTCGTTGTCGTTGTCGCTGTTGTTGTTGTCACTGATGCTGCTGGCTGGCATGCAAATTGGCATAACGTCCGTGTACCTACGTGTGTGTGTGTGTATGAGTACCTACCCATTCTATGTATGTCTATGTACATTTGGTACATTTAGGTATATGTTTAGGTACACAAGCACTGCCTGTACCTCTGCGGACTTGGGTGGACTCAGTACCAATCTATAATAGTCAATGTACACTTAGGTACATTTTGGTACATTTAGTTAATAGCTACTATTCTAATCGACGCCATGTCAGATGAAGCACGTTATGCCAGTTTGTGCTAGTTTCAGCTGGCTTTAAATGGAGAGTACTCGTATGTACACATGCATATATGTGTGTATGTATGTATATGCATTCATATGTGGACAGCGTAATGTGTAAATGGTAGTGCATGTGTCTGTATGTGTGCGCACCGGTGCACACATACACACATGCTCGTAAATATAGTGTGTGCTTGGTAGCTGCTGTATGTATTTTATTTATCGGATAGGATGGCTCACACTGCACGCCAAATTAATTGTAGAAATTATACGTTTACAGAGTTCAACATGGTAGCTTGCAGGATAACAGATGCTCGTAACATTGCAGCCAATAATCATCATTTGCACAACCGCAGTACGGGCTCAATATCCTCTGGTCAAGTGCCTTTAAAAAAGTGAGTACCCCGCTTCCGATCTAGCAAATTTGTCAATATGTGTAGCTAATCTATGAGTCCACGACCTGATAACTAAATGCATCTACATTTTCCAACTATCTCATGCGCCCAAATAAAACAAACTAAACACTGATTGGTATTTGCCATGCACCCACTACATCTACTTCAACTGCTTCTTCTTCTCTACCGTTGCTACTAAATATAGCAATACTGAACACTATCGTGATTATGAAAGCGTTTTTATAGTTCCAGGTCCATCCTGTCATAATCAAAATCGTAAGCAATGTTTCTATACTAAAACCAATATTTTCTTAGTTCACTTTCGTTCTGCTCAGTTGGTAGCTTAGAGTTTCTTTTGATTTGTTAATGATTTATTGATTCAATGATATTAACTGAACTGGTTCTTCAATTGGCCAGGTACAAACAAACCCGAATATCAAGTCTAACTGCAATACTTATTGCCATATTGCACTGGATTTGGCCACCCGATCGCTGCACCAACTGCCACTCCATCTACAGTTCACCCAATATCCACGAAGATGCCGTGCAGGACGAAGGAAAGAGGCGATCCGCACAGCTCGGCTACGACAACAGCATTGAGAACTGCATCGATGTGGTCGATGGCGCTCTCTTCGAGCGTCGCAATAGCAACGTCTCCCAAAAGTCGTCCAGCGATGATGGGGGCTTCCTTTCGCGTCGCAACTTCATCACAGCGCGCGCCTCGTGGCGTCGTCCACTGGTCGCATCATCCAGCCAGGTCAGCTTGCAGTCTGCAGCGGACTCCGCAAGGGGTTTCCTTCACGGCTTGGGCGGCCTGCTCAAAATTGGTGGCGCTGTTAAGCAGCAGCACCTCGAGGATGCTGTCACTGGTGCGAGATATCAAAACGTGCACAACATCTACAGGAACACGGCGAGCAGTGGTCCGCTCCATATAAACACGATCAGCGGCAGTCTGGGCCAGCAGCTGCTGTCGCCACAGCTCTACACACCTTCGCGTGTCTCTCGCATCTTCTCCAGCTCGCCGGCCAGTACGCCAGGCCACAACCATCAGCAGCACCAGCATCAGCTCTTATCCTACAGCGCCGCCTATCCCTCGCAGCACACGCACTTCAGCGATCTCAGCACTGTGTATCCCAATTCCGCGGAGCGTTCGTTGCCGACGTCCCACGTCAGCGGCACTGGCAATCTGAGTCGCTATCGCTATCATTCACAGGAGCTGCCGTCGCTGCGCACCATTCAGGAGGAGACACGTCGCCAGCAGCCACAACAGTATCATCCGCCACAGCATCCACTGGAGGATCACTTCCTGCCACTGCAGTTGCCTTCGCCGCCCTCGTGGCGCAACTACTACCAGACACAGCTGCCATATCAGAGCTATCGACCACGCACTCGCTGGTATCCCCGCCACTATTCCCGACTCTTCAGCCGCCAGCAGCACGAGCTGCTGTCGCCACTGCCGGACTTAAATCTCTCGCTGCGTGGTACGGCCAATGCGGCTGGCGTGGGACTGGAAGCATCGCCCGAGTCGCGCTCCAGCTCCAGTGGGTTTGGCTCTAAGAACACGTCCAACCATCCGGGCAGTACCAGCGAGTGGCGCCTATTGCCGCCCTATCGTGCGCCGCCGTCGCCACCAAAACATTCGGCATACTTTGGCCTAAATATCGCAGCCACGGGCAGCCAGCAGGCGCAAGCGCAGACACCGGTGCCGGGGCAGCTGCAACAGCAGCCGTACCACTACTCGTATCTGCAGCCGAGCCCACCTTCGGCAGGGCTACCAACGCCACCCTACACCATGTCGCACTGGCTGGAAATGATCTCACGACTGAATGCAGCCACGGATAACAATCTGCCCAGGTCCTGCCAGGTGGACGTGGGCAGTGTCGATGGCCACTACGAATTTGACCCCGCTACGCCGACGCCAAGCGCCTCGACACCAACGGGCGGCGTAGGCCTGCTTCGCGATGATCTCAATCTACACATAGATACACATCACTATCCACACCATAATCTTCATCATCAACATCATCATCCCCATGCAACGTCCTTCCATCAGCATCCGCACCACACACTTGGTCCATTGAGCGGCAGCTTGTTGCACGCCTCGACTGCCGCTGGTGGTTCCGCCACCTATGGTGGTTCCATGGCTCGCAAGCTGCGCAGCCTGCCACGCTATGACAATGTGGAGGCGCGACTCCAAGCCATGCGAGAGGAGTTCTATGCCTATCGCAAACGCCAGTCCATGCAGCGCACAAGTGGCCCAGAAATCGAGAGCGTGTGCTGACAGCTGACAGCTGACAGCGCAAATGTGACCGCAAAGTAAACAACACACACACACCCACACGACAGAGTCTTGCACAGGTACAACTATAGAATATATCTGCACCAGTTTAAACATAGAATGAACAACCCGGCAGCAGCAGCAGCAGCAGCAGCAGCAGCCATAATAACATGCAATCGAAGTCAACCGCAGCAACCATATGATTAGATGATATCTATCCAGCAATAACACAGCTCACGTCGTATGTTATCCATGTTAGAACCCAAGCGTCATGCTATGAACTACAAGTATTTAAAGCCACGTATAAAGGGCCCCAAATCAACAGCAATTAGTAGTTTTTTATGATATATAGAGCAATCGAAGAACGGAAAAGGAAATCGAAATAGGAAACACAAATATAGGACACCATGAGAGGAAATAATTTTTGTACATACTAAATACATTCAATAATGATATATACACATTATAAGAAGGCACGCGAGCAAAATATGATAGCAACGTTTAAGTATAATATTTATGGTAACAACCTATAGCAATTATGAAACACATATTATAACTTAAATCTCAATTGATATTTACATATATGAATTGAATATTGATTGAATTGAACACAATATGCAAAATGGAAATATTATTTATAAACAACCAACAAATGATGTATTAGATATTTATATATGGTGAGCATAGGCGGATACAGATTGATCTGTTACAACATCAATTACCAATTAAACAAATCCACAACGTAAACGTTAACGAAACGTTCATTATGTTACATTAACACTAACGTAATTAAAGCGGAATATATGATAGCGATTAAGCCCTTAGTTGTTAGACTAAACGATCAAACGAAATGTTAAAATAAAAGCGATTAAAACTCTGCAAAATTACATATAGACAAATTGTTTTATAATTATTAAAATTATTGAATGACAACAAAAGAAGAAAACCAACTTAACAGTTTATGAATCATTACAAAAACAAAATATATAACTGCTGCATATATATATAATATATATATATATATGTTTACTGTTGAGCTACACACAAAAATATTTAACTCGAAAGATATATTTATTGAAAACCTAAATACTTTTGCCAGTACAAGTATAGGAAAGTACTTTAATCCATTGCAACATGTTTCACGCAACAGCAACAGCAACAGCAAACAGATAACAGTTGAGGCAGCTGGCTTAACAGTATGTTACTTAACATTTATTCAACTTCTGATACTAATTGAAACTAAAAAGGAAATAGAGAGAGCGGCTTTGAGTTGTTCGTGATTGGATATTGGATTCGTATTGAATTGTGTGCAACAGATAGCTATATACAGGAGTTCTATGCCGATTCAGACTCAGATTCAAATTCAGATAACAGTTATAATTTAACAGCCTATTCTAAGCCTACTCCTGTCCGCCTGTCCATTGTGTTCAGTACGTGAGAGCTATGTTTCGTTTAAGCTAAAGAGATGTTTGATGAATGAGTTTAAGTTAATATTACGTAAATACTTGTTAATGATAAACTTGTCTGAACAAAACAAACAAATTGTACGGAATGGTTTGACACAACTTGACGCCAAAACACTGCCAGAGCGAAAATGAAGAATGACGATGAGAAAAGAGAGATGACGATTACCGTGTCTATAATGTATGTAAATTACACAAAAAAACAAAAAAAAAAACAAAAAAAAAAACAAAAAAATGAACAAATTTAATAATATATATACTAACATAATATAAATACAATTTAATCAAATCGTTGAGCAGAAAAAAAGAAAGGAAATAATACTTAAAGTAAATTGACTCAAATGATCTCAAGAATAATTATTTGTTTTATGCCTTCCTCCTTTTGCAAACTTCAATTCGAATAATTCCTCCATAGGTCCCGTCGCGTCACTGTTAATTTATTTATACTAAAGTTATTGCGAGAGGCTCTTGTCGAAATGGTTTCTTATTTTATCAAACGGAAATCGTAACTGAATTGAGTATATATATACATATATATACATATATATATATATATATATATATATATATATATATATATATATATATATATATATATATATATATATTGCAAATATTATTGCACAACGAGGTTCGATTATTGTAAAGGCTAACCGAGAATATTAAGATAGTTGACTTTTGTATCGATCGAGTAGGACAGAAGGCAGCAAGACACAGACTCTCGCTCATACACAAACGAAAGAAAGGAAACAAATTAAAAATACAATATAAAATATATTGTTAACTAGAACGCAATTAATTGAGCATTAACAAAAGAATCCAGTAAAGCAGAAACAAAAGGTAAATTAACAATAAAGTACGCCGCATTAATATGTATTAAATTTTAATTGAAAACTGATAAGACAAGGCGAAATGTAGTGCAACACATATATACGTTAAGTGACGGACTTTAACAACATATATATAAAAATATATATATATATATAAACAATTATTTATATGAATATAAATTACAACTACTGAATTAAATGGCATGTACATTAAGTAAAATGAAAACAAAATTAACAAATAATTACTCGTAAGTAAATCAAACGCTTTAGTCTGCCACTTTGATTTTTGGACAAGGTGCGTCAGTCAACTTCAACTTTCTCGACTCGAACAAAACGAAACGAAACAAAACAAATACAAAAACAAAAGCAAACCTTTAAGCAAACATAACTATCGAATGAGAAAACAGTAACTGTTAACTTCTTTCCTTCCTACCATTCTTTCCTGCCATTCTCTATTCTCTCCTACCTTCCATTTGCACCTTTCTTCAGGTTACCTTCAACTAGCGTTCACACACACTCGTATCATAATTCGCTTGATTCCAAACCTCTTTCATTCCAACGACAAAGTTCCCCCAGCATTTTCAGCATATAAACACGTACAACAAAAATCAGTTTAGAACGAAATATATTGTAATTAACACAAGACACAATTATAAAACAAATTAGCAAAATGAACAAAATTTTTAAACAAATAAACTTAAAAAAAAAAAAACAAAAAAACAATTTGAAATTGATCAAATAAAACAATATAGAAAAGTCTTTTCATTAGTATTGCATTGGGCGCAATCACCTTTTGACCCCGGCAACCTGGCAGCCCGGAAGCTTGAACCTGCCCAGCCACTTGATACGCTCCATCAATTAGCCAATGCAGCAGCTTTCACACACAGCAGCGCGCACTGCTCCTCCAATGCATAACCCGCAGCGAAGGCGTTGATTAACGCCCAGCTAATTGAATTGGAATTCACGAAAATGCAATAGAAAACAGCGTCCCAATTACTGAACTGGTTAAACGTCGATGAAAGTGAATTGTGAGCAAATTTTAATTAGAGCAGCAGCAGAGCTCGGTAGCTCGCCAGCTCGGCTGCGTGGGCGTATGTCAAATGTCAAATTCGGCAGAGCGCGGCCCGAGCTACGTTTGACATGTGAAAGTGGAGAGAAGCTCGAAGCTGTGTGCGGCTCAGTTGTAAATGCGAGCACTCAGTACACAGATGTGTGCGTGTAGCAGTATATGTGAGTGTATGTGTATGTGTATGTGTATGTGTATGTGTATGTGTATGTGCATGTGTGCGCGTATGTCTGCTGTTGACAAAATCATCGTCGCGCATAACACAGAACGTTCTGCCTTCTGATCGCACTTTGTTTTGTTTTTCTATTTGTTCAGTTTCAGTCGAGCTTCTCCAGTTGTCGCGTTCAGTTGACGAGAGCGCAGTTCCCTTGTCCGATTGCTACTTATTGCGCAGATTATACGCCGCGCGGATCACATTACGAGCAGACGCTGCCCTAATACATATTACTTTGTGCTTGAGTTAAGAAACGACGTGCGACGTGCGACTTGCGACTTGCGACGTCGGACGTCCTCCGTGCGTAGACTCAATTGACCTGTTTTTTGTTCAACTGCGTTTCAATTAAGCATCGCCGATAAAATGCTGAAGTCGATGGTAGAAAGCCATGCCGCCAATAGTTGTTAATCAGTGTTAAGCCACCCCACACATAAGCTCTGCAAAATGCCAAAGGAGAACAAAGAGATTCGACTCAGCCTCACAGTGGAGGAGCGGCAGGCAGCAACGAGCTGCCATGCCATGATAACTGCCAATGTCATAGGAGGCGGTAAGCAGCTGCTGCTGGTTTTGCTGCTGCTGCTGGCGCTCTTAATGAACACATCCTGTGTGGCATGCGCGCGCGATCATCGTAAACAAACAAATCTGGAGGCCAAAGTTGGCTCGCATGTTGTTTTCAATTGTTATATAGATTTCCCATACGATTCGCCCATACCTTACATCGTCCACTGGAGCAAAGATGTAAGTAGTCCCACTCTGATTCACCGACTCAGGCTCAGCACGAACGACGAACGGGTCGTATGCGTGATTTGAGTTGCATTTCAAAAATCGCTCATACGCACTGATGGCCAACGTCAACCCATCTCCCACACATATCGCATTTTTTGTACCGTTTACGATCTCTCGCTTTTACTGCCACACGCCAGTCTACACGCACTTTAAAATTAAATTGTCGAAATTATTAATTTATCATACACCATATACACATCGTACGCGTGGGTGGGCTCAATGGGCGAGTGAGCGAGTGGCGTGGGATGCTGTTCGCATGGTTAGCCTTAATTGCGACGGCTGGGCGGTCCATGCAGCGAAACAGTGCAACAGTGCAACAAAGCAACGGGGCTCTCACATTCATTAAAAAGGGACTTTATGGCTGGGCGATGAGTGTGTGTGTTGCGACCTTAAATGCATGCGCGAAAGGGATGAACGGAACAGACGACCCTAGCCGGACCGCCCTAACACCCCACCACCCCACCACCCGCACCCACTCGATGCGATGTAACGTATCTGTATTAAATTGAAATTTCATTTAACGCGTTGCGCTTTAAATATTCCATTCCTTCAAAGTGTGAACGTGAAGTGTGACATCAAAGAGGAGAGCAACAAAAACGGCAACGGGCGAGCTGCAAGCTGTAAACTGTAAACTGTAAACTGTAAACTGTTGAAATAAATTTCAATTGCATTCAATCGAATTGAATGGTTGGCATTTTGTTGACAACTGTGAGTAATGCAATTAAATTCAATTGCGAATTATTTGCAGCTACGCACGCTTGTATTTAAATCAAGTAAATTACTATTCAGTTCACACTCGACACACGCAACCCCTAACCCCGTCAAACACCAACCCTGGCCCGTGCTAGGGGCTCGTATTGGCTGCGCCTCTGTGTTGTCTGCAATCTGCGGCCCTCGTCTCTCCTCTGCCGTCATCTGCCTGCCGCTTCTCGCAAAATGTTTTCAACTATTTGGATGCTCGCTTAATTTGCTGGCACACTCAGACACTCACACACACACGCACACACAGTCTGGTTTTGCTTTTTTTCGCTTTTATTGTATTGTATTAATGCAGAAAATTCCACTCGGTCAACGGGTCATGATGTCATTTTGATAGATTCACTTTAATTGCGCTCGCATCGTTTTTTGCGCTCTCGCGCTTTGTGTAAGCGCCACAGTTTACCAAATATCAGTTGAACTAATTTGTTCAGGGCAGCTCTTTGGCAAACTAGATACGTCACATTTTTGTCGTTTCGGTTTACACTTCGAGCCAACTCCTTGAGCCAAGGCTCGACTGCAACACCTTCAATTAGGCTTAGAATTTGTAATTCGATTTTGAATTATCAAAATATTTTATGCAGTAAATATATATTAATATTTGAATTGAGCAAAGAGCTCAACTTGAAGCAACCAAATTTGGGTATATAAAGAGCTGATTCTCTTCAATAATTTTTGTTGTTCTAATTGTTTGTTTTTATTTGCAATCTGTCTTATACTAGACAATAAACAAATTTGTTAACAATAATATTACGTAACCGGATGGCTTGGGCTCCAATGAGATCAATCCATATATTTACCGACTTTAAATATTTATCTATTTCTGTGGGGTAGGTCTAGGACATGTAATCTTTTAAGTCGCCTGTGGTTGCTTGAGTCATCCAGTAGTCTTAGTGCTAGAGCATTGTCGTGGTTATGTAGTTTACTCATGTATCCGTTTGCATATAGTTGTATTTCTTCTTTAACAAGGGGCAGTTCAACATCTTTGTGAATATTATAATTAGTCACATACCAGGGTGCACATGTGATTCTCTTCAATAATTTGAATTTGAAAACATAAAGATTATATATACTTGATCAGAACAACAAGCTGAGTCGATCTCTCCGTCTGTACAAGAAGTGGCATCTGGCCGAAGAGACTTGGGTTCGATTACTGACGAAGGCAAATTTGTTTTCGGAGTTGGAAATTTCTTCTTTCAGCGATAGAGATTTAACTGTGAGGACACCGGGGTGAATCATGCAAGGACATTATTATAAGCCTCTCTATGCCTAAGTACAAGTGCGTGTGCTTTGTATATTTATGCATAGATACAAGATATATTGAAAACGCCAAAGGCGAGGTAGCCAGACTCTTCCGACTAGCGTCTTCTTGCTTGCTTAAGGTGAAGAGCGTTAAATGAAATGGATGCGTTGATGCAATGTTTAATTCTTGAACAACTCTTTAACTTTGCAGCTGAGGTTCATAGTTAAAGTAGATATCGAGCTCAGGTCGAGGTGCTTATTGAGTTCGGGTTAAAGTTCTCTTGAGTTTCCGATTTGAATGCGAGTCAGTCTCGCCACAAATAAATGTAGAGAATTAGCTTAAAACTTAGGCGATGATGCTGCAGCTAGTCATTTGCATAATGTCAGTTTTGATTATTTTTGGCAGCCTCTGCGCCCATTTGTTTCGCCCACAGTGATTGAACGATAAAAACAAAATATTTATGCAAATATTCATGTGTGTGTCAGAGTGTGTGTGTGTGTGTGTGTGGTTGTGTGTGTGCAATCAAAAACTACTCTTCACGGCCATTGCGAATTTTCGCGCACGTAGACGAGCGGCAAAAAAATTACCGGATAAATCAAGTTACGTTTGTAATTTGTTAGATAATGTTGATAAATGTGCGCTGAGGCAGCAGATGGCGACGCCAGTTGACGCACAAACACACACACACAGACACACAGCTGGGTGTACTTGGCTTCCTCTCGGCTGCCGCGCTGTGTGCCTCAAGTAGAGGCCAAAAATTATGCAACGCGCAGCCGTGTCTCCCAGTGACAAGCCGAGTGACATTGATGCCCCATCCGGATTCCTCGACGATTTCAATTAAAGGTGTATGCTCGACAAATAATGTCAATAGCTCAGCAACTGGCGCACAATTAAAACTATCAAATTGCATCGCGGCTGGCACTTGCTGCGGTCGCCAGCTATCAATAACCGTCAGGCAACCAAATCCCTAGCATGCGGTTTATTAGTGGGCCTATCAACTGGCTACCTCTTCACCTGTTCACCCGCCCGTCTGTCCGCGCAAACAATGCAGGTGTAAAAATCAAATAAAACATTGCTTCGATTTAAAGCGGGCGCAGAGCAGAGCAGAGCTCGACTGAGTTTTACAGCATTTTAATAATTTTTATTTAGCTTCGCTCTCGGCGCCTGTTTGCCCAACGCCTATCCAAACAGAATCTGCCGTTTTTTTGGCCCAACCAATTAATTTCGAACCGGTCACAATATATTTTCAGCAAATATTGACAAATCTATTGAACTTTAATTAAAACGAAAATCTTTTATTTAGTTACAAAACGTATTCTAATTGCATTTCCAATGGGCAAACTTTAGATATTTCAAAACTAATTCCGTTAAATATTCACTGCATATTTCGCAGTCTAGAAACAGACAGTTATAATTATAAGAATAAGTATATCAAAGCTCAGCTAAAAATCAATTTAAGACACTTTTTGTGGCCTGCTTTGGCTCTGCTCTGTCTGTCCTCGTGCCGCAGTCAGCGAAGGACGCTGCCAACAGTGCGCGCAGCGGGTGTTTGCGAAAATTATAATGCTGTATGAATGCTCAGATATTGCTCTATATGTAGCACGTAAACAATCACACCCACACACACACATGGATCACAAACTGTTACATTGTCAGGGCTGCCACTGCGTTCAATTATGTGCTGCGTGGGTGCGGATATCTGTCTATCTATATATATACATGGATGCATGTGTGTGTGTGTGTGTGTGTGTGTGGGGGGGGGGTGGCTGTTTGTATGTGTGAAACATGTCCATATATGATTTATTGCGGCAATTGTAATTGTAATTTTATCATCAAATCGAATCATAATGATTGCCGAATTGCATCGCATTGCATTGCACCTGCCCCACACACCATTTGCACACTTTGTTTATTATTGTCTGCTGTTGCTATTCATCTGATAGAACAAGAAGATCTTCACTTGGTACGAGAATGAAACATCCACCAATGAGCTCTTCAACGGACGGCTGCACCTGGTCAGCTATCCAGGTGACTTTGGCAGGGCCTCGATCAATCTGACTGCCATACGTGAGTCGGATCAGGGCTGGTATCACTGTCAGATCATCTTTCCGAATCGCTCGCCCAGCGTGCGCAACAACGGCACACGCTACCACCTGGCCGTGCAGGGCGGCTCGCTGATCAAAATACCACCTGTGAATCAAACGATTATGGAGGGTCAGACGGCATTCTTTCACTGCGTGATGAAATATCCGGACAACTCGCAGGCCTCCTGGTACAAGGACGGCGTACTGCTGCAGGAGGTGCAAGATCTGATCCGGCGCTCGTTCATGGGCCCCGACGGCAGCCTCAGCATCGACCCCACCATGATGAGCGACCTGGGCGAATACGAGTGCAAGGTGCGAAACAACGAAGGCGAACTGCAAACGGCCAAGGCCTTTCTCAACATTCAATGTGAGTGCTCAGCGAGAGCGGCAGATCAGAGCCTCTCTCTTAACTCGCTTTAACGCCCGCTTCTCTCTCATGCACAGATAAGGCCAAGGTGATTTATGCACCGCCCGAGGTTTACCTGCCTTACGGTCAGCCGGCCGTGCTCGATTGCCACTTCCGTGCGAATCCGCCGCTGAAAAACCTGCGCTGGGAGAAGGACGGCCTGCTCTTTGACTCGTACAATGTGCCCGGGGTGTTCTACAAGATGAACGGCAGCCTGTTCTTCTCCAAGGTGAACGAGAACTATGCTGGCAGCTACACCTGCACGCCCTACAATGACCTCGGCACGGACGGGCCCTCGCCCATCATTAGCGTAATTGTACTGCGCCCACCCATATTCAGCGTGACACCGAAGGCGATTTACATACAGAAACTGGGAGAGACGGCCGAACTGCCATGCGAAGCCATCGACCGGGACGGAAACAATCGCCCAACCATTGTGTGGAGTCGGGTAAGTCCGACTCCGAGTGTGAGTCCGAGTCCGCATCCCACCATGACCCACCATCCCCGCCTGTCCACTATCTGACTGCCTGACCGCCGGACTGCCTGACTGACTGACTGCCTGACCACCTGGCAAATAGGCCCTCGGCTGGCCTTGTTGCAGTTTTGCTTGATTGCATTTTGAAATATGCATGCTCGACACACACACACACACACACACCCACACACAGACATAGACATACATTGTGGAGTGTGGAGCAATTCAACGCTCATTCGCATTCACATTCTGAATTTAACTAATTTCGCACACACAGAAAGACGGGCAGGTGCTGCCAGTGGAGCGGCACAGTTTTAGCGGCGGCAATTTGACCATCACGAACCTGGTCGAGACGGACCGGGGCATGTATGAGTGCTCGGCGACCAATGAAGCTGCAACAATAACTGCCGAAGCTGAATTAATGATTGAGAACATTGCGCCACGCCCGCCGTACAACCTAACGGCGAACAGCACAGAGACATGCATTACCATACGCTGGCAGCCAGGTGAGCAGACACCTACGCATAGCATTAGCTCTACACATACCCTGTACCTCTGTCCCACAGGCTATCTGCGACCTAATCTTGAGTACACAGTTTGGTATCGACTCAGCGAGGCGCCGGAATGGCGGACGCTGCGGGTCCTCGAGAAGACCCAGATGGAGGCCACCGTGCAGCATCTGCTGCCTGGACGAGAATACGAATTCATGGTACTTAGCCAAGACAAATATGGCGACGGCATGTTCAGTAAACAATTCCGATTCCAAACGCAACGTAAGTGCAATTAAGTAAAAATATATTAGTTACTTTTTACTTCACTTAAATTCACTTAGGAATTTAAAACAAAAATTTTGAAATTGTTTTTGAATTGCGCGCCTTATGGGCAGCACTTGACATGCAATGCATAGTAGCTTTGTTTCATTCGCACACGTCGCAGGCAGAAGTGCAAAGCACTTGTTGTAGCTGGTATAAGTGAGACAGATATAGCGTACAATAAAAGCTTTGAATTCATCTTTAAAATTATCTCTTGCTACAGCCTCGCCGCAAGGGGCAGACTTTGATGCGCAACAGTTGCAGCACCAGCAGAGTCGCCCATCGACCATTGGTGGACTGGGTGCACCGTGGAATCTAAGTGTGCTGAGCACTCCTCAGGGCTGGCTGCTGCACTGGGAACATCCGACAGTGGGGCTTGAGACGCTGCGACATTATTCTGTGCGCTGGTGGAAGGAGCCGGACCACTTCCTCATCGGCACCGCTGAAACCTTTGACAACTTCTATCAGCTGCGACAACTCAAAGAAGACGTCTCCTTCAAGATACAAGTGCTCGCTGTGGGAGCAGAGAACCAGGAAGTGGCCAGTCCCGAACTATTTCTCGAAGTTCCCTCGCAGCGGAAAGTGCGGGCTCTGATAATCGGTAGCTCAGTGGGCGTTATATTTCTACTCTGCGCTCTGTGCGCTTTTTTATACGTGAAACGTAGCTGCCTCCTCCACCTTTTTGCCCGTGCCAACGGCAACGAAGGAGCCAGCTGCGACGAGGACACCGCCGAGAGTGGCGACTGTGACAGCGACCAGGAACGGGACAGCAACAAAATACGCACAGCCTCCTGAGAGATGCAGATCACGTGGATCTTCCAGCATGCCAGCAGAAAGTCAGAGCTAAGCTTATGCCAGGACAAGGATGAGGAGAATGAATTTTAGAATAACACTTTTGCCGATGATCGTTACTCAGTACTGCATAATACTGATTTATAATTTATTTCTAGTTTCTAATTGTAAAAATAAATTTTACTAATTCCCTAATTCCTTAATGTAAAGGTGAACTTTTAAACTGCAAACTAATTAAACTCGGAAGAAATTTTAAGTTTGATTTTGAATTGCCCGCCTTATGGGCAGCACTTTATTTGGCTTACGGTCTACTGTTGTCTCTTTTACACATATTGCGCTTAACGGCGAGCTATGAATCGTAAATATGTCAAGTGATAGAGGAGGATAGCGAGATAGGTTGACAAAAGCTCTCAAACGAGAAAGCTTTGCATACTTAAATTCAATGTAAGTTTTAAAGTAATTTTCATAGCGTTGATGTACGTACATACACCCAACATGACTGCAACTTCCGAAAGCTTTTCAGCTAAATACTTATATGAGGCAACCATTGCGGATCGTGTTTATGAAATTGTATATAATTATGATGAATGTGTAATTCAAGTATGAAAACTTAAGCTAGCTATGAGTAGGCTATTATCTTTCAGATTCTTGTATTTTTTCCATGTGTTGTAAATCATGTATGTTTCAATATAGCTTCCAGATCTTAACTATTAGGTCATACAGTCTGAGCTACATATAATAGGGGACTACTTGATTCCAATTACAAATTGATTGCAGCTTTCGCTTCGCTTTCAGCTTCCAATTCAGTTTCAAGTTCGGCTCCGGCTTGGGAAACTTCAACAACTCATTCGGAAATGAATAAGTTGTGATAAAAAAAACTTAATGCTAATTAGTCAATTCCAGATATTGGATGCTAAGTACATTGAGGCTTGTTAAACTGTCGATGCTGTTAAGAAAAGTTAGCAAACATTTTTGTATTAATTGCTGCCATTAGGATGGCCGTTTCCAGCTCACGACATAACGCCGCAAAGAGAGAAAAACACCTGGTTGCACCGGCAAGTGGCAATGCAACCAATTGGGCTTTATTGCCGCGTGGACCAAATGCCGTGCACTCAAAACTATTTGGCTTCATTCGCTGCTGCTGCTGCTGCTTCTACTCTTGATACTCTTGTTACTGCGGCTGCCGAGACTATTAAAGTTCAATTCATTTAACCCACTTAACCCGCCAAATGTTTTGTACTCGCGATGCTTTGATGCCGTTATCCGCGTCTATCCGACTCTTCCACACATTGAACGTCACGACGCGCATATTGCATATTGGTACACGATATACCAGTTAATATCGTATTTCAGGCTAACTCACCCGCTACTGGTCTTCACTTGAAATCGAAGTGCTGAATAACTCCAATGGATAATTACGATATTCATTGTATATGCACGGCACTGAAATATAACACGATATTCTTATTGGCAAATGCGGAACAATGGAATGGATTCTCTTCTGCTATGTACAAATTATAACATTCGATTGGAAGCCGAACTTTTCTTGTTTAAGGAAAATGTTGATATACATAGACGGTAATATGCTTTTGATCACTATTTCGAGTTCCATTGAAGGGGGGAAATGTCGCGCAACAGTTAAAACAAATTATTGCTGATAAGAAAGCGGACTGAGCTGCGTTTAAATTACAGTAAACTGATTTTGTGAACACTCATATGTACGCACACACAAAGAAACAAAATATATTCAATGTTAAAAGCTTTGTCAAGCTAGCTATATACGCGCATATGTATGAGTCTGTGTGTGTGTAAGGACATATGTATGTATGCACTAGAATTGTAAATGTATGAGTGCATGGTATGCACATATATGTATGCCTTCCGTTGCTCATTCCGAACTTTGGCCATTGAGGCTGAGAGTTAGAATGAAATATGTGTGGACTGGTGATCGTTAGAAATGAGTGCGAATGTACTCATACGAATTGCTCATGCGATTACTCCGCCGCAAATCAGAATTGTTTTTGTTTTGGTTTTTTATTCATGTCGTCGATCGAGGCGTGCTTTGTTTTTCTGTCAACCCAGCAGACATTAAGCAGTTCAAAGATCACTATGAAATGTCAGACAGGGTAGTATGAAAGCTTGAGGGAATTACAAAGGTAGTTTCAGCAGTTTACGACCTCACGTACGAAATATATTAATATAAATAAAAAACATATTAAAAATACACAATAATGCAATAATATATCTATGTTCCTCACTTGTTAAGTTATGAATTTATATATTGTTTCTCATGTGTGAATCGACAATTTGTCAGGCTATCCTCGTATCATATCGTATGTTGATGCATTAAATTTGCAGCAATTGAAGCAGTTGCAATTTCGGGTGACGCATACTGCAAGACAACGATGAACACTGCAGACAGACAAAGAAGAAACCAGTTTTGAGTGCAGTTGCACTCAAGCCAAGTGCAGCATGGGAGACGTTTGTTTTCTGTTTATGATCAGCTGTTTACAGTCAGCTGAAACACACACACATACCCACAGAGGAGAGGACACACATTGAGAGAAATGAGACATGCGCAGACTGCAGCAGGCCATAGCATGCACACGCAGGGGCAGAGGCCATAACAGAGTGGAAAGCAATTATGACGACGCAGCAGCAGCACCAGAACCAGCAGCTCAACCACAATGGAGCAAGAGCTGTAACCACGCGCTCTGGCTCTCTCTCTTTCGTTTTTCATTCTTTCTCTCCCGCCATTGACGAAGCATACGTGTCGCGTTTTCATCGTACTTGCTCCCCCACATGTTCGATACACATACACGCACGCACACAGAGCTATCCGATTTATACAGCTATCTGAGGAAGAGAGGATGGGAGAGAAGGCAGAAAAAGATAGACAAAGAGCGACGTTGGGTAGCTTAGCAGCAGCATTAGCAACACTCGCAGTTTCAGTTCTTTTTCGTTCGCGGTGCGCTCAAGTTGTTCGTCTCGAGCGTTGTTGGAGAAACTCGTCGCGTGATCCGCCAAAGGAAACACGTTTCGTATCTTGTTCTGCCAGCTGTGCTGTTTGAGTGCTGTGTTGTCTCTTAAATTAGACCAGGAGCCAAGCAGTTGTAATTGCTCTGGAGGAGCTGGTGCCTGCCTGCCTGCCTGATATGCTCTACTGGTTTTTCTCCACAGTTCGGAGTCCGCTGTTCACATCGCAGTTTATACAAAAACAATTACGTATTCAAAGTGAGAGAGAGCAATTGAAATAGCAACAAAAGCTCTTTATGTGTGTGTTTCACCAACAGCCGAATTCATATAAAATATTTGACAATAAAATGAGCCTAAAATAAAGCAGACGAAGAGCATCTCTAGCAAACAGCAAATAGCCGACAGCCAACAGGGAACGTATCTGTTGTGAATGTGGCAAAAAAAAACACAAAATAAAGATTTGGAAAAAAACAAGTTTTATGCGCCAGCAATTCTTGGAACTTGTGTATTGTGATTAAGGTGAGCTATGGCTGGAAACTAAAACTAAAGTACACTAAGAAAATTTTAATTGCGTTGCTCAGTTATTATTATTATATGCTATTACGCTGCAAGTGGTGGTTGCTGCTCTGCAACCCCCTCCGACGATAAACAAACTGCAGTACCCCTAGGCGGACCATGTTCCACCACCAACTGATGGACTACTTTCTTTAAACTTCCCCTCGGCTTAGACTGTAGAAATAAACAGTTTGGCTAGTTCCACAATCGCACAAATACATATGAATACATGTATTCAACGTGCTTCCATAGAAGCAGCACAGTTGCCTGAAATAAAAAAAATGCAATAAAAACAAAAGCATATGTATCTTTAAGTGTATATGTATCTTTCTTGCTTTTGTATCTATTGAGCGCGCGTGCGTTCTCTGTTTGGTGCTCTCTTTCTCTCTCCTCTCTCTATCTCTCTCTGGCTATCTGCATCTGCTGCCGAGAGGAATTTGGCAAAATATTTTTATTTAATTGTTTACGGCGGCAATTTGTTTATGAATATTTTGCCATTTAAAAATATGTGATTAAAGCCTCGTGCCGTGCCATTCGGGAATATGTCTGGCAGTATCTATAGTTATAGTGTAGAGTTGACAAAGTTCGTGGATGATAACGCGCCCTTTGCTCGTGCCACTAACCTACTTTAAGGGGCTTAAGGTAGGGCCACTCGCCCACGCAGAAAGGTTTCTGAAAGGCTTCTATCACGTTTGGCACGCTACATCTGACAGATTCGCAGCTGCAGACTGTGTTTGTATCTGTTGCCATTGGCTAGTGAATCAGCCGACAGCGCCACAGGCGATACATAAAACACCTGTGCAGCCTTAACAGCTTAAAGTCAATTATTACATATCTCCGATTAGCGGCAAAAGAAGGCAGTCGAATAGCTCGACGTGCTTATCACAATCATCCCTAATCGCACAGGCAAACAAATCTGTAATAAATTTGTATGTATAGGCGGCACTTTATATAAACGTTTTATAATCTATATACACAGACAAATATAGCTTTCGCACTACTGCAATCTTATCGCCTCAGCCACCTGCTAAAGCATCCGACGGGTGCAGCTAAACCCAGAAACTCCTGATCATTGTCACACGCGCACAAAAGAAAGCAGCCAACAACGAAATTTGCTTTATGAAACAAGCCAATACAATTCTCCTATATGGTATCTGCAGCATCAGATGATCCTATAAGAGCAGCTCACATTTACATACATCTAATTTGTATCTTTTTCTCTTCTCCAGCTGCTTACGATGACGGGAAAACAAAGAATCTGAATTATTCATCAGTTCAGGTCCAACTACGTGACAAACGAATATGCCAAATCAATTGTGAAACATAAGCAATGAATAATTGCATTTTAATGCAACTAGCAGCAAGCACATAAAATACCCTGTAAATAGAGCGAACACAAGGCCAAAAGATTATTCAAAATACATAGATATTATATACAAATAGACAGCTCGCAACCCGATGCCAATTCCAATTGCAAGTGTCTAAAACTTACGCTTGATCAGATACTCATTTAAGTCTAAGCCATGGACGAGTTGCTCGCCTCGAATGATCCACTCGTGGACAAGGATAGCGGCTGCAGCGCCGTCATACTGCCTGCCTCCAAGGCAACAACTACATCAGAAGCGACCTCAGCACCTCTCAGCGTCGTCCACTATAAAAGCAGCAATATTAGCCCAACAACAGCAGCAACAACAACAGAAGCAACAGTAACAACAACTACAGCCCCAGCCAGCCAGCAAGGATCAAGCACAGCCACAGCCACAGCGAACTCTGAGCCCGTTCCCCTGTTAAATCAGCTTCAGGCATTGCCTCTGCAAAAGCCAAACGACTTAAAGCAATGCAATGCGCTCTACGGGTGAGTACAATGTGGCGCCTCGATTTCATCACTAATGAGATTAGCATAGATAATGTTTGCGCTGAAAATGGGATACCTGGCTACCTGGCGACGTGGGTGGGATGACCCAGATAGTCTGTCATAATTAGGGCGTGTCAAAAGTCGAAAACAGCGAGTGGGAGCGGGCGCTCATTAGGTCACAGAGCCATCCTCAGCCATACTCAACGAAATCAGCTCAGGACAATTCAGCTAAGCTCCATAAATCAAGCGACTGGCGAGCTGTCGCCTTAGTCACGCTGCTCGAGTGACTAAATTAAGAACTGTCCAGCGAATTGATATCTTTGCTCCAGCAGTCGAGATACACTTCGAGTCGCAGCGCACCTTTCAAGGAAACTCTCAGCAGCTGCGGAAAATCGATGAACAATATAAACTCGCACTAACAAATGCAATACGTGTGGAGCGTACACACGTAAGGCTTCCTTGACTTGAGCTTATTATGAAGGAGTAGCGCACAAATCGCGTGCCAAGCTCAAATATGCTTAAGAATAGCCTTCTGACAGCCCATTCAACTTGCATACTGTTGCATAAAGTTGAATTTAAATGTTATTTCATTAATCTAGGGATAGGTTATGCAGAATATAAAAGACATCTTGATCAATCTGTATGTGCGTTTTCGATTATGTTACCGATATAAAGCACTTAATATGAATTAAAATGTGTTAGATATCGATTAATGTCGATAGATTGAACAGCTGTGTTGTTGAGTATAGTTCAGATGAAGAAGATTCTGACTACAACTCGAAGACTATAAGAGTCAAAGGGAACATATTTCGTATGCAAGATCCCTTGAAGCAAAGGCACATAACATATAAACCCTTTCTTGGATGTCTTAACAGTATTTATTAAAACCCATCATTTTAAAATTATGTCTCAAAATAACTTGGACTTGGCGAATTCCATATGAGACAGATTCTGACTTATTCCTTATATTTCTACGTACTATTAATATTTATTCCAAAATTCCAAATAGAGGATAGAATTTTGAGATATATATATCCTCTGTATATAGATATTTATTTCTAACAAAGAATTTCAATAGTTACATTCAGCTCATGTCCTGGGGTCTTTTCGGTTTGCACACCCTTATCGAACCTAAATGATGTGTCAATAGCTTAAATGACTTGTCAATAGCTAACAGCAAACAGGTAAATGGCAAGAGGTGTTAGACACAAGAAAATCCTTGCTGTTGTTCAGAGAACATCATTCATTCGCCCTTGAGCAGACGACGGGCGACCCAGAGCTTTGTAATTAAAATGCAAATAGAGGATTTAATAGAAAATTCTGTCGCCCACGTGCAATTCAATGCTGTCCAGTCAACACCCACAAGGTGCGATATGTAATTAAAATGGGACATCCTGGCAGGTGCTAGCACAGCTCTGCATAAACTGCACAGCTGCACATATTTCCCTCTCTACTTAAACTTGAGGTTGACCGGAGAGAGGGGAAGAGCGGAAGAGCGCGCTTGGCAGACAAAAGTTTCAAAAGTCATAAAAAGTGTTTAAAATGCTTGACACATCCTTTTTGCCCTAAAGTAGCAACGTACACTGGCTCACAGCAGTGTCTACAGCAGGAGCCAACTAGTCGTATGAGCAACTATAAACAGCCACGAGCAAAACTCAAACATACGTATAGTATATAGCTGTGTATGAAAGCCCGCCAATCGCCAGGAGGGCTGACTATTGTTGGAAACAACGGTAAAACGAAGCGGAGAAGAAAACCCATTAGCAATAGCAAATGCAGACTGAGGAGTACTCTATCTCGATCTTTAACTAGCGAGCTAGGAGTACCAGCACACTATATAACACTGGAAAGTCAGTTGCCTCTATTCAAGTACTATAACTTTATTCATGTCCCAGTTCGAGTGTGCCTTAGTTTGAGAATTGCAAAACTCCCTTTTAGTAAGGGAAAGGGTATGCTGCCAACCAACGCTCAGCGACGTTGGCCACGCGTGCTTGGAAAAATCGAACAAGCCGCCCAAGCTGTCCAAACTTTGCCGTCGTAGTCAGTTGTGTTCAGCAGAGTTGAGTTGAGTTTCGGCTCAGTTTGGTGTTGCTCCCGGCGGTCGCCTTACGGACATTAATTTATTTATTTTAGTGCTCGGTTTTTAGCCTTTAACTATTTAAATGTGCATATTAGAAAATGAAAAGTGTCAGCAAAACGATGTTTAAACTGGCTGTCGTGGCTATTCGGCTCTAGAAAACGTGGCAACTTGGCGGAGGTGAAAATCGAGCGAAGAGCGACGAGCAACGTGCGGCGTGCGATGATTATGCAATTCTATTGGCCCGAAGCAATAAAAGATACATTGACTAACAGACAGCGGGGCTCCGCAGTTGTCAGCCTGTAAACCCTCCAAAGTGTTTCTTTGCCAGCCGCAAGGCGCTTAGAAAGTCTCTACAGACACATTGACCTTTCTCACACATCGAGGTCAACGAGAATAGCCGAACCACTAGAGGTTACATCCGAGTCCGAGCCACCTACACACTCTCTAAGACTGACATTACTTATTCGAGCAACTTATTTATGATTCATTTGAAGAATGTTGAACAGCTTGACAGCCATAAGTTTATAACTATATTCGGGATTGGCCTACATCAACTGTTCTTTAAAACGATATTGAACATACCAGTCCCTAGCGGCTTGACTGATAATCGTAGGTGCCATTCGCTTATGGGTAGACTGTTATCATTCCCTGAACCCGTTGCGTTTATTATCGGTTATACTTGCACTTTTTGTTTATTTTGAGGCTTTGCATATTTGTGTTTGCAAGTTTGTATTCGTCGCCCAAGTTCCGAGTTAATTATAAATAACCAACCCCCCACACAGACCCCAAGCTATGCTTTTCCATATACATACCCACATAATAAGCAAGTAAGCGTGCTCTAGTCGACTTACAAATATCCATTACACAGTTCTCTCTCCTCACACCAACACAGATAGAGGGAGTATGGCACAGCAGTACGAATGTTACTTTAGGCCTCTTACTTTTAGAGTTTTCAAGTATATGTACAAATATACCCTTTCTGCACATCTTAAATGAGCACAGGGTATGGGGAACAATGAATGTGGATTAGGCAGCGGCCACCCAGTCTGTTACCCAGTCTAGTCGTTGTAAAATGCCTAATTGTCACAAAACGTGGATGATCTAATACCTTGCGCCATCTGATATTTCCGGTTAACTTTAAGTAGTGCACAACAACTTTGTAACAAGCATTACCCAGTCGATGGGTAGGATGGTCAAAGCTCAGTTGTCATTACACGCTTTACCACTATTAGCGTGCATGGGGAACGGTAGCAGCTGCTTTATAGCCAGCTAATCAATCAATATAATGGGCTCGAATTGTTGCCAATTACAAGGTATTGCAATTGATAAGCAATTACTTTCATAGGGCAAATAAATGTTTCGATTTCTGATGCAAAGAAAGCGCATCACATGACGGGGCCAGCACTGGACCAGCTGAAGCCCCAAGGAAATGAAGTCAAATAATCTTCACCTTTTTATCTAGAGGAGGCATAGAGAAGTGTATATTTCGAATTCTAGCTATCGAGCTTTAGTAGAGACATAAAATTGAGTTGTGAATTGCGTTGTAGAAAACAAAGTAATTGCCCTTAAGCCCCGCCCCCACTGGGAGTATTAAAAAATGTTAGTATTTTATCAGTGGAGAGAACATATCTATGTATGAAAACTCTCATTCAGCAAGACACACATTTCCAAATGCCAATATACTCGTTTCACTTTATGAACGGGCATTGTCTATGTCGTGGGTCTCCTTGTGGTCGTGGTCTGCGCAATGCTGTCAAGCACAAAGCGTTGTTGTTGTTGCCTGAGTTCGTTTACATCGACATTCACTGCAGAGTGCAATCGAGTACATGTGCACCTAAAATGTACCCAGCCAGTCGGCCAGGCTAGTCGCTGCTTGGTGCACGCGCACCGAGAAATTCGCGGGAAACGAATCGAGCAATTCGCAACTGTCCCACAGTGCGCGTCAGCTGCAGCAGCAGCGTCAGCAGCAGCAGCAGCGGCAGCGACAGCGATGGCATTGTGGGGACGGCTGTGAAACGGAAGTGGGGCAGCGGCGCAAAGACTCGCATTTATCGTATCTGTATACAAACTGAATGCCAGCGACAACACGACTGAGCTGATGACGTTGTTCACTTGGATAACAGACATGCATGTGTTTGGCAAATTGGCTACTTCGGTATTTGGCTATTCGGTTATTTCGTATTGGTAACGGCCGACCGCGCGGAGATAGACAACAGCTGATTCGGCTGCGCTTCTGGCTGACTGCCGTCGTCAGCAGTCCGTTGAGATCTGTTGTTTGCCCAATTGCTACCGAATGGCGCATGGCTGTAATTTGCGTGGCCAAAATCGAAGTCCCAGCCACAATAAGTGTTCTTGCCAAATAGCCGTGCAATTGTCTTGACCCAAATATGGCTTTGGAACAGTGATGGAATTTCAATTTGATTCTCTTAGCTGAAGCGAAGTAAATTTCCGATTTCCGATTCCCGATTTCTCCGATTCCCGATTTCTTGATAAAAAGAAACTAGCAATTGGCAGTTCTCGCAAAGCGTTCCTTGCTCTTGTGAGTATATTATTAGGCAGCCCAACGTGCTGCGATCTTCCGTACGTGTTCTGGGCACAGCGTGAATCGGTAATTATAAACAACCAGAGGAAGAACTGAATAACTAAACTTTGAACTGCGCCCACAACTATATTTAGATATCTGCAGTGTAAATTGTTTATTTTTTCTGACACCGTTGCACACAGAGGTAGAGCTGGCTGGGCAGCTTGCGAGCCATATTTAACGACAATTAAGCGTCAATCTATCCATCATCAATTGGGTTCAGTCAACTCGTTAATACAAGTAGTTTGCACCGAAAACTGACTTCTCAATTGACACTGGGCGTCCTAGGGAGACTCTCGTGTAGTCGGCATATTTTATCAATAACAGACCAATCGAGGGTATCTCACGGCATTTTATGAATGAAACGCAAATTGAACTTTGCTCTTTACAACATTCCGATTGACGGTCGAGCTGTGTCGGTGTGGGTGGGGGTGGTGGTGGGTGTGTGGCTCTTAGCTCTTGGGACGACTGCAGACACAACACATACAACTGATTACGGCTGACTGACTATTGACTACTGCCGATTGGGCATGTTGAATGGCTATTGAATATCAAATCAGAAATCACATACAGAAGCTGGCAGAATAGAGTGTAGTGAAATTGAAAATGTGTCTATGAAAGCGTAAAATAAATTAAGGAAACATGCCGAACGGCTTGGAGCTGACATTAATCAGCAGCAGCAGCAGCACCAACGATAGCACCTCTCGACAGGCAATAGGCGAACTGGATGGCATTCAGAACACCAGCTTTGAGGCAGCTGCTCAGAATGCGCAGCTTAGGCGATCCGCGTATGTGGAAGGCTATGCGGACATGCTGCAAGAGCTGCAGACCAAGAGCAATCCGGCACGCACGCAGCGTTCGCTGTCCTTTGTCCAGACGAAGCTGACAAAGAGCGGCTGTGTGAGCGCGTTACAGCGACCGGAAGACGGGGCTCGATGCTGGCAGAAGGCAGTCGTAGTCAAGTAGGCTACATTTAGTTATTTCGCTGCCAGTAAATTCACCATTGCCTAACGAAATCTTTGCTCTCTTCTACAGCTCACAGAATAACCTCTGCAATGGCCGGCCCAACAGTCACGGTCTTGCTCCCAAGATACAGAACAACACCAGCACCAGCCCGAATGGACAAAAGAAGGGCACCATTTCGCTATCGCATCTGCCCCAGCGGCCGCCGGTGGACATTGAGTTTTGTGATATCTCTTACTCGGTGCCCGATGGACATATACGCGGCTTCAAGACAATCCTGAAGAGCGTCTCTGGCAAGTTTCGCAATGGACAGATAACGGCGATCATGGGTCCCTCAGGAGCAGGCAAGAGCACGTTGATGAACATTCTGGCTGGATATAAGTAAGTGTCGATGATTCACTTTCCCAAGTGGAAGCTAATCAATTGCTTTTGTTGTATTACAGAACCTCCCAGCTGAGCGGTTCGGTTTTAATCAACAGCAAGGAAAGAAATCTTCGTCGTTTCCGTAAGCTCTCCTGTTACATCATGCAGGACGATGTGCTGATTGCCAATCTGACAGTGCGTGAGGCCATGATGGTGGCTGCTAATCTGAAGCTTGGCAAGAATATGATCAACTATGCGAAGTGCGTCGTTGTCGAGGAGATATTGGAGACCATTGGCCTAAAGGAATCAACCAACACATTAACATGTAATCTTTCGGGCGGTCAGCGTAAGCGCTTGTCCATAGCCTTGGAATTGGTCAACAATCCGCCAGTAATGTTCTTCGATGAGCCTACCTCCGGTCTGGACAGCTCCACATGCTTCCAGCTAATTTCACTGCTTAAGTCATTGGCGCGTGGAGGTCGCACCATAGTCTGTACAATTCATCAACCATCGGCGCGTCTCTTCGAAAAGTTTGACCATCTCTATCTGTTGGCCCAGGGCCAGTGCGTCTACGAAGGTCGAGTGCACGGGCTGGTGCCGTACCTCTCATCCCTGGGATATGAATGCCCGTCGTACCACAATCCAGCCGACTATGTGCTAGAGGTGGCATCGGGCGAGTACGGCGAGGCAGTGCCCAAGTTGGTCGAGGCTGTAAAGGGCGGAATTTGCAAGAAATACATGCACAAGGATTACGGAGTCAATTTATCTAACACTAAGGCTATTAACAATGACATTATCAAGGGCAATGGCAGCGGTGCAACCTCTACGAAAGCCGTTGCGACAATCACCTTGGAGGACGAAAAGCCAGGCAATGCTTATGAAGCGGACGAGCTTACTGAACTGAAACCACCGAAGCTAAAAGCCCAGCAATCACAGACGTCCGAATGCAGCGCCGTGAATATACAGATAACCAACGATGACAGCGGCAGCTTTAGTTCTTCTAAAGGTGGTCAGAGCCAGAATGCCGTATCCGGTGGCACAAATACCGTTGTCGGCTGCATGACCTCGCTGCTCGATTCGCATGAGAGTGTGGTGACGCTGCCTAGCAAGACGGGCTTCCCGACCAGCGGCTGGACGCAGTTTTGGATACTCTTGAAACGTTCGTTCCGCACAATTATGAGGGATCGTATGCTGACTCACATGCGACTCGCCTCGCATGTCATCGTGGGCGCGATCATTGGGATGATCTACTATGATGTCGGCAACGAGGCCAGCAAGATCATGAGCAATGCTGGGTGCATCTTCTTTGTCGCTCTCTTCACAACGTTCACGGCCATGATGCCCACCATTCTGACCTGTAAGTATAAACCACTAAAATATCATTTCACATATGCTCAATCAGTTTTCTGTCTCAAACAGTTCCCACAGAGATGTCGGTGTTTGAACGTGAGCATTTGAACTATTGGTACTCTTTGAAGGCGTTCTACTTTGCGAAAACCCTCGCTGACATCCCCTTTCAGGTTGGCAATCCCCCATATACAATGAACTATAGAATCTTATTAACATAAACATTCGCTTTCAGATCATATTCTCCAGTGTGTTTGTTTTGGTTGTTTATTACTTAACCTCTCAGCCCATGGAAGTGGAACGCATTTCGATGTTCGTATTCATCTGCGTGCTCAACTCTTTGGTGGCTCAGTCTCTGGGGCTACTCATAGGTGCTGGAATGAATGTCGAAACGGGAGTCTTTCTTGGACCCGTCTCCACAATTCCCACAATTTTGTTCTCCGGTTTCTTTGTCAACTTCGACACTATACCGGACTATTTACAATGGCTCACATATGTGAGTTACGTGCGCTATGGCTTTGAGGGTAAGTACAAGGACTCAACTTCATTGACCCGACAACTAATTACCAATAACAATTTGTAGGTGCTATGGTTTCGATTTACGGCATGGACCGCGCCAAATTGCATTGCAATGAAATCTATTGTCATCATCGCGTTCCCAAGAAGTTCCTTGAGTGGATGTCCATGCAGGACGCCCGTTTCTGGGTCGATGCGGTCGCTCTGATAGGAATCTTTTTCGCTCTACGCATAGTTGCGTACTTTGTGCTCCGCTGGAAGCTGCACATGATACGCTAAAGGGCTACCGAGTTATCTTATCGAACTATTGTAAATAGTAAATAGAAGACGCGCAATTGGAATTAATGTTCGAGTACTGTAGATAGGCGTAGCTTAATGGTGCTTCGAATTTTTGTTTCACGTTTATTTTGCTGTAGACATTACTACCATGTAACAAGAGTATATATTATCGTACACGGATTTTTTATTCATAATACTTGCATTGTAGCTGTTTTATGTACGAAATATGTAGCGGAATATTTGACCCGGTATATTTGAGTAACACAAATTGAGATTCACATTTATAGACCTAAAGTTGTACATTTATAAATAGACATGGATAATTTATTAGCGTACCTAAGGCACGTTCTAGGCTCCACACAATACAGCCCATTAAAGTAAAAATCTTGTGACCAAGCATAAGAGTCTGAAACTTAAATAGGTTGAAAACTATAACAAATTTTTAGACAAGTTGTGAACTAGCTAACATACATATACATAACATATATATATATATATATATATATATATATATATATATATATATTTGCTGTGCATTTTCGCCACCTTCTTTCAAAGCTTCGAAATTTAATTATGAAAATGATTTTAGCTTAATAGAAGATCCCAACGTTTTATTGATCGTTCCGTCCGTGTTGAAAGCTCTTTCTATATTTTCTCTTTTTCTGTCTCTCTACCTGTTAGCCAGGTGAACAAACCTTAAGAAACATTTTTATCTATAGACTTTGAACTCGTGTGATTTGAAATAGTTTGATTTTTGCAAGCCGATAGTATGGAACGTGCTGAGGATCCAATTGAAATAAAATATACGAACCTTGTGATACAGAATACACTGAAATTAAACAATTTAAAATATACAAATTTGACTAAACGTAAACGGAAATGGAAACGGAAACAGAATTCGATTGTGTCCAGGCAAACTGGTGATATGAAGCAATTATTATTATTATCACTATTCTTACGGTTAATCTTGAATAAATCTTTGTAATTTATGACGCATGCATGTTTGCAATTAAGTAAACGTTTTACTGTCCACTTAGGTGAGGCCAAAAACAAATGCAATATTAGCTAAAGCATTTTCAGTTGATTTGCTAAACCCAACGCAATGGAAAAGCCAATAAGCCAAAGAAATATAATTCCGGTATGGAAGTTGGGTTCATCAATTACCTTTGCCCTATAAGTTATACATAATTTGTGATACATGTAGAAATATTAAAAAAAACCTATTTTTGATTTGTATAAAACAACAAGCTGTGTGGCAACATATTAAGCATCCTGTGAGGAGAAAAACCTATAATTAATATTGTAATTGTCTTTTGGGAAGCAAGCGATTAAATAACAATTTATGTATGCATATTCTTAAGTGTTTAATTGTGTAATGAAGCTACACACATATATACAAAACACACACAACAACCCAGTAGAATATTTTTAATAAAGAAACAAATATTACCATTAAATATAGTTAATAAACGGATATTTCTTTTCAAGGCAATTTTGAATTTGTATAGAGGGTCTATAGCTATCTCGCTCGCCTCAACAGTCTTAAAAGACAGAATGATAAAGCTATTAAAACTGTTCTCATTGAGTGCAAGCGAGAGAGAGAGAGCGAAAGAGCTTTCAGAAAAGGTGGTTGTCTCTGCTGCGCCTAGAGACTTGAAAAACATTGCAAATAAATTAATATAAATAATGCGTACATTGATTTTTTAATAAAGAATCTAAAGTTAACATATGAAAGTAATATAGTTACTTAACTGTCATTTCTCTTAACTATTAATTTTGGTGTTAAGTGTGTCACATGTATGAGAATGAACAGCTTTTTGAGTGTCTCTGCTATGCAGGTTGGATTTAACAGTTCTTAGGTAAACAGAATAATATAATAACTGATCAAATTTAGCTTGACTTAAACAGATTTCAATGTTCATAAAATATTATTTTAATTATTCGATTTGATTCGAAATTTGTTTTCTACAAAAATAATTGCGGGGTAAACCAGACATAAATTAGATTTATGTCAAAAATTGTTTTCGTATGCTGAAAACGTGAGGCTTAAAGGTTTGTGCTCACAGTGTCGTATCGCTGATTAAAGAAACAAACAAATAAAATTTTAAATAATGAGAATATAATTTGACTGTATCATCAGTGACGTTTGCAGAAGATCGGCCAATATGTGGCGATCTGTCGAAGCTAAACAACTAACAGCGGGGATTTTCTCAACAGGCACCATAACTGTGTATGTGTGTAGTAGTAGTAGTAGTAGTGCCATATAGTAGACAATAGTAAACCGATCGGTGTTCGTGTCACACTCAAAAATCATACTTAAGGCCCGCTGCGCATGAGAGCGAGCTCATTGTGGATCCAAACGGCAGACGGTTCGTATCATCGAAGCATCTGTGGCGATCGGCCAAGCAAACTGAAGCTGCGCTTTGTTCTGGCTCTGTGTTCTATGTGGTTTATTTTGTGTCTATATATATATGCTGATAGTGAACAGTAAACAAAAAAATCTAGTGAAAACAATACTTGTTATGAATCATGTTTAAAAACACTAGTGTCTAGTATCTAGTATCTAGTACATTATTAAATTATAATTGTTTGAGCAAGCATAGCGATTCTCTGACCTCTTTTTCGTGATTTTCCATTTCAGCTATTTCTAGAAACAATAATAAATTAGCATTTTTATTTAATTTGTGAAAACAAAGAGAGCCGCGAATATGTCGCGGTTGCTAGTTTTTTGTTTCTGTGTGCTTCAATTGGGACTACTCGTCAATGCCACTGGGTAAGTAGTATATATTCTTAGTCTATCTACATATGCACAATCCCGTAAGGTTATCAGCGTTCGAAAAGTTCTAGGAATTGAATCAAATACGATTTGAATGTTTGCTGCTTTCTTTCTGCTGTGGAAACCTTCGAAGAGAGATTCCTGAAAGATAGACAACATTTTGATTGTGTATTCAAAACCGGTTGGATTGTCGTAAAATATTTAGTTTGTGCATACTTTTTCACCCGAAAGCAAAACCTTTCATGTTACGTTATCTCCCAGCATGTGTGAAGAACTTGAAAAAAAAAACATCAAAAATACCTATAAAAATAACAAAACTGTCTTCAATATGCTTGATTGAAAACGAGCGGCGTAAGACTCCTCTAAAATTATTCGGATTGTTATCTAATGAACATTTTGTGGGCTCGTAAAAGTGATCTGACAGTGGTGGGAATAATGATGGATGAGCGATCAATAAAACTTATAAGTAAAAAGTATAAGTACTCAGACGTACACAATTCATAAGTAATTATTTAAATACTGAACAGAATCCGGTTTCGAGTTGGAGGAAAGAAATAAAATAATTAGCATCTAGCCATATACATATTTATAGAACTAATGAATACGTTCTGCATTTGTACAGTCTGTACACGATAATCGCGCCTGGGACCATACGATCAAACTTTAAATATAATGTGGCTGTGTCTGTTCACAAGGCCGAGGGCAAGAGCACCATAAAGGTGGGCCTCACTGGACCGTCCTACAATGAAACAAAGGAGGTGCAGCTGCAGCCCATGTCCACGGAAAATGTTGAGTTCGATGTGCCGAAACTAGCGAGCGGCGATTACAATTTGACGGCCGATGGCATCGAGGGTGTCATCTTTAAGAACTCGACTAAGTTGGACTATGCCGATAACAAGCCATCAATATTCATACAAACTGATAAGGCCACGTACAAGCCGGCGGATCTAGTGCAGTACCGAGTGCTGTTTCTGGATGAGAACACGCGACCTGCGGCGATTGATAAGCCAATCACAATTGTCATCAACGATGGAGAACAAAATCGCATCAAGCAACTGACTGATGTTCAATTGACCAAGGGCGTCTACACGGGAGAGCTGCAGCTGTCGGAGCAGCCGGTGCTGGGCACATGGAACATCGCAGTTAACATTGCCGACGACAGTGCTGAAAGCAAGTCCTTTGAGGTGGCCAAATATGTGTTGCCCAAGTTCGAGGTAGTTATCGAATCAGCCAAGGACGTCGCTGTTCAAGATGGTGTAATTAAGGCCACAATTCGTGCCAAATATACATATGGCAAGCCGGTGAAGGGCAAGGCCACTGTTTCGCTGGAATCAGACTTTAACTACTATAGACCGTTCAACGCTGATTCGAAAGGGATGAAAACTATCGACATCGACGGAAAAGCTCATGTTGAATTCCCAATTGATAACTCAGCTTACGGCCTAGGGTATACGCCGCCCATGAAAATCTTTGCGGAAGTTACGGAAGAATTGACGGGCAACAAGCAAAATGCTTCCACAGTTGTCACTGTGCATTCGCAGCGCTACAAAATCGAGGCAGTCGACACTGTGACTAACTACCATCCAGGCAAGTCGTTCGTCTATGAGTTTGTAGTCAAAAACTTGGATGGCTCCCCTGTGCAAGGTGGCTCGAAAAAGGCTAAGCTGACATTCGAGGCGCCTCACAGATATTTCCACATTGACCGATCCGACGACTTACCCGAACTCAAAAGCGTTGAATTAGAGGCTCCATTGAACGAGAACGGTATTGCCAGCTTCACCGTCGTCTTGCCCTCAAACGAAACTCGTTTCTATAATGTAAAGGGGTCCTATGGCGACTCGAACTCTTACCTGGGCTCCATCCATAAGTTCCAACCTACTGTTGAATCTGCTGAGCCGCTCCAAATTAGTGTTAACACCAAAACGTAAGCGCCCGTAAATAGAATTTATCCTTATTCCAACTAATAATTGTTGATTTCTTAGTCCCAAATTGGGTAAAGATGTTTCCTTCAACGTGAAGTCAAACGAGCAAATTCCATATTTCGTCTACGCGATTATCGCTCGAGGAAATATTGTTAAGGCTGAACACGTCGATGTCCCAGAAGGACGCAAGGTGCACACCATCAAATTTACACCCACATTTGCGATGGTTCCACAGGCCTCGATTTATGTTTATTTTATCTTTGACAACGAGTTGCGTTTCGAGGAGCGAACAGTTGACTTCGAGAAGGATTTCGACAACTCGGTAGGCATCTGGACCTTAAGTATTTACTTTTATATTCATAATCGGTGTTTCTTCACAGATCGAAATCTCTGCTCCATTGGAGGCCAAGCCCAGTGAGGAAGTCAAGCTGAAAATCAAAACAGACGCCGACTCGTATGTGGGTCTGCTGGGCGTCGATCAAAGTGTGCTGCTGTTGAAGTCTGGCAATGATTTGGTTCGTGATGCAGTGTTCAACAGCCTTAATAAGTACAAAACAGCTACACCGTGGCAGACGGGATATGGCCGCTACCCAGGACAAGCATCCGGCTTGGTCACCCTCACAAATGCCAATTATCCATACAACTTCGGTAAGCTAGGGGAGACGATATCTGCACACGGATTACTATAGGATAAGAGAAGAATTTGTCTACTGCTATGCAGAATTTTAGGCGGGTTAGGGATAACAACTAGCACCATGAATGAAATTACTTGTTGGTGTACAAATTTTAGAAAAACGGTCATACGATGCGCTTGATGGCGATATTGATTATCAGCTATACTCAGAAGCTGCACAAATAGAAGAAACAAGCAGTGATTTCGTTGCCCATGACGATGTAGAGTCTGAAACAGTCGAACGAGTTGAATTGATACGCAAGAATTTTGCAGAGGTTTGGATTTGGCAATTCACCAATATGAGGTGGGTTCTCGCCGTTAAACATAAAGCATGAAGAGCACGCTTCAAACCAAAACTTAAAAATTAAGTAAAGTAACACAATAGTTTTGAGAACTTACTTACAATTACATCTATTATAATTCTCCAGATATGGTCAACTAAGGTTGAGGTTCCTTCCTTCCACTCAGTCTACTTCCTTACTTTGGTTGTGTATTTTAAATAGCGTATCTCGAATATGGGACACATGAAGCAATATACCCAATAAACTTAGCAGGAATAAGCGTATTCGAAAAAGAAAAGTTACGAATTCGGGAAAACTTGCTTGAAAGCTGGATATTCGAGGAGATGTAAATCTGTTTTTCTGCAATTAACTCATAAATCATCCGTTTGGGCGGTTTAGACTATTTTTTTTTCAGTTTCAGTTTTCACTAATTAAACCAATTTGTATTTAGGTTATATACTTTATGGGATGGCCCTACCCTTATATAGACCTTCCATTGTCCTGTATGCCATGTCAGGTGAAATCGGAATGGCAGGATCGGCTTTGCCAGTGAGAACCAATCTTTATGCGGCAAACATGCCTGCGGTTCCCTCAGTTCGCAAAGAATTTCCAGAAACTTGGCTGTTTGTTAACAAAACAACGTAATTGCGAAACTAGTATATATCTTTGCTTTGGGTGAAGAACTAACTACTCCATAGAGACTAAGTGCAGTATGGAATAAGCGTTACAACTAACTTGTTTATGTTTTATAATGGGTCCATGGAGAGTAATATGTGGTAGAGCTTTTGGCCCATCCCTTTAATGACTTTCATATTTGTTTAATTAATATTATATTTTTCATACAGAGAACATTGTGGCACTTGAGCTAGATAGCGTGGGACCTCCAAATTATATCCTTACCGAACCGAATATTCAAATACGTAAAGAGTTTCCCGAAAGCTGGATATTCGAAAACATGGAGAAGTATAAAAGCTCTTGACTAAATTAATTGACTTTCTCTCTGTGATTTCGGGTCTTTCTAGTCAAATCGCATTCCTATCGCACGACCTTCGGTTTCTTATTACAGCTGTTTTAAGTATGTGTAGACCTTCATGTGGCTTAGTTTGAATTCTTTCAATGGTCCATAATTTCTATCTGATTTGGCTTTACATTTTAAGTACTCAACTTTTGTAAGAAAAACTTTAAGTAGTGCAATCTGAACTGTTTCTCTGATTTAAAATACCATGAGACCTTTCAGAACCTTTATGTGTTAAGTACTCAGATTTGGTTAGACATTGTGTTTGGAAATTTCGTATTCCTTTTAAATGCCTTATTCGTGCCTAGGTATTCGGTTGTTCCGGAATTCTTTCGCAGTAAAGAGACTTCCAATCAATTTAATAGAAGCAGAGTCAGTAGAATTTGTTGCACCAGATGTCTATCCGCCGAAAGCTGCTGTTCAGATTCGCAAAGAGTTTCCCGAAACTTGGATATTTGCAAATAATATAATGTAATTGAAGAACTTTTATATATTTTAAATGAAAATGTTTGGGTATAGAACTAACTCTGACACTGGAATATTAATACAATAATCTTCACTTATGAGCAGCGCACTTATAGCACTTATCGATAAGACAATTAAGAGACGCGAGTTGATATTTAAAGTGAGTCTAATAACCAATGAACTAAATTATAAATTTGTTCTTAGATATACCATATTATTATCATCCAATTATGCATCGTTTTCCGGGTCTATTAAATCGTGGACCAGATTTAGCAGTTGGTTTCGCTGGCATAGCGTTACCAGCGGCTTTTGGGTCAGTAGGACCACCTCCAGCAGTCGTTCCCCAAATTCGAAAAGAATTCCCAGAAACTTGGATGTTTACAAGCAACATAACGTAACTAGCATTTTCTGAATAGCCAATGGTATCACGGGTTAAATTTTGAATACCAGAGGAAAGCTTATTATATATCAACTATGGGTGCACATTCTACATTATCTGGGTCACAGCTGCAACACGCTAACTACTAACGATCTAATTAATTTAATTTGTCTACACTTAAAGTTAACAATATAAAAAAACTGGACTTGGGTATCATTCCCATCATGAAAGTCAGTGGGGAAAGGCAAAGCACCAACAAAATACGAAAAACAACGCAGAAACCTCATTTTTCCGACGAAGGGACATACGATTCGCAAAAAGTTTCTGGCTTACGCGAAATATTTATGGAAACTTGGATATTTTATGGAAATTTGACGAAAACGTACACAAATATTTCGCTTACAGAAAAGTTCTAACTCCAACAATCATCTCACAATAACTGGTATTGCTTAATTTAGTCATTTGGCCCGGCTTATTCATATGTAACATTCATTGGTAACAAGCTTAAAGGAGGAGGGGCATTTATTTCCTAATCATTTTTGTGTGCTGATTTGTGCATGTTCTTAAATGAGACTGTGAATGTATAGCTATATATATATATATATATATTTGATACTAACCTTGTTCATTATTTATTTTCCCATGAACAGTGATGATGCTGAGGGCTTTACTTTGGTTAAAAAGATACCGGACACAATCACGTCTTGGGTTATCACTGGATTTTCTTTGAACCCAAGAACAGGCATTGCTCTAACCCAGAATCCAAGCAAGATTCGAGTCTTTCAGCCATTCTTTGTGTCTACCAATCTTCCCTACTCGGTGAAGCGCGGTGAGAATCGAATTAAATTTCCATAGTTTTATAGAGCAAAATAACATCTCATAATTGCTACTAGGTGAGGTCATTGCCGTACCCGTTATTATTTTCAACTACATGGACAAGGCACTTGACGCTGAGGTTACAATGGATAATTCAGACAAGGAGTTCGAGTTCACTGAGGCCACAAACGAGGTTGAGGAGAAGTCAATAGATGACGTTAAGCGAGTGAAACGCGTTACCATACCATCCAACAACGGCCAGAGTGTCTCATTTATGATACGCCCCAATAAAGTGGGATCGATTACGTTAAAGATCACAGCCACAACTCCATTGGCAGGCGATACGATTCACCAGAAATTGAAGGTAGAACCGGAAGGTGTCACTCAGTTCGAGAATATGGCCGTGTTCGTCAATCTAAAGAATCAAACTGAAATGAGCCAAGAGCTGAATGCCAACATACCCCCCGAAGCGGTTCCAGATTCTGAATTTATTGAGTTCTCCGTAGTCGGCGATCTGCTGGGTCCCACCATAAAGAACTTGGACAGTTTGGTACGCATGCCGTATGGCTGTGGTGAGCAGAACATGGTTAACTTCGTGCCTAATATTCTGGTCGTCAAATACCTGGAAGTCACCGATCGCAAAATGCCCAGTGTCGTGGCCAAGGCCAAGAAGTTCCTCGAAATCGGATACCAGCGTGAATTAACGTATAAGCACGATGACGGCTCCTACAGTGCTTTCGGCAAGTCCGACAAGTCGGGCAGCACCTGGTTAACTGCGTATGTTGTGCGCTCCTTCCATCAGGCTGCCAACTACACGGATGTCGATCCAGCGATAATAATTCAGGGCCTGAATTTCCTCGTATCGAAACAGAAAGCGAACGGCGAGTTTCCCGAGGTTGGCAAATTGTTTGACAATGCTAATCAGAACGCCTTGGGACTCACATCGTTTGTGCTCATTGCGTTCTTTGAAAATCAAGTACGTAATTAATATCATAATATAACATACGTAATATATCATAATATAATATAATATCTGCAATCCACAGGAATTTACGGATAAATCAGAATTTCAGCAAGCGATTCACAAGGGTCTCCAGTATGTCGCTGAAGAGGTGGATAAAACAGATGATCAATACTCCCTGTCGATTGCAGCTGTTGCTCTGCAGTTGGCCAAACATCCTCAGGCGAAAAAGGTTTTAGCCAAGCTTCAGAGCCTCGCTAAGATGGAGGATGGCCGTAAGTGGTGGTCGAAATCGACTGAAAAGCCGACCACTGAGATAAACAGTATTCGCTATTGGCGTTCCAGCAGCAACGATGTCGAAATTACGTCTTATGTGTTGATGGCCCTCTTAGAGGAGGAGGGGGCTGAAGATTCTCTACCAATCATCAAGTGGCTGATTGCTCAGCGTAACAGCAATGGTGGCTTTTCCTCTACACAGGATACAGTCATTGGACTGCAAGCGCTGACCAAGTTTGCCTTTAAGACCGGCTCAGGCACTGGCAACATTGACATCGACTTTGCATCTTCCAATGACGACAACAAGGGTACTATTAAAGTGAATCCAGAAAATTCCCTTGTACTTCAGAGTCATATCTTACCAAAGAGCGCACGGAAGATTAATTTCACCGCCAAGGGCCAAGGCTCAGCAATGGTTCAGTTGTCGTACCGATATAATTTAGCTGAAAAGGATAAAAAGCCTAGTTTTAAGGTAACGCCCACTGTCAAGGACACGCCCTTGCAGCAATTGACCCTCGAGGTTTGCGCTGAGTTCGTACCTCTCGAGACGAGCGACCAGAAGAAGGACTCCAACATGGCCGTTATGGAAATAGCTTTGCCTTCAGGTTACATCAGCGACTCGGATAGCTTTGGCAAAATTCAGGAAGTTGACAGAGTAAAGCGTATCGAAACAAAGAACTCAGACTCTACGGTGATTGTCTACTTTGACAGCCTGACGCCCGGTGATGTTAAGTGCGTACCTGTGGAAGGTGTTCGTGCACATTCTGTAGCCAAGCAAAAGCCAGCCGCTGTTTCCCTTTACGACTACTACGAAACGGATCGACGTGCTACCGAGTACTACCAGGTGAAGTCCTCCCTTTGCGACATCTGTGAAGGTTCAGATTGTGGTGCTGGATGTAAGAAGGAGAAATAATGATTAGCCCGTTCGTGCTCTAGCGTTTAGCGACTATTTAAATAGAGCTCAATAAAAACTAAGTAATGTGCATTATCAATTGTAATATTTACCAATTTACTGACACCTACTAAAGGACTAAAAATTAAATTGTAAATTTTTTGATCCAAAAACCATTTTTTTGCAATTCGTGTCAGTCTCTTGGTCAAAGTTAATAGATTGGATATATTGATAGTACTGAGCCGTACGAGTAGGAAAAAGTATATTTTTCCGATCTGGGAAGTTAGTTTAGGCGAAGCAAGAAAAACTGTAGTGACCTACATATTTAATACAACTAGGGACTTAAAAGATAAGTAAAACGAATCTTTCGAATGCCGATTAATAGTTGAGATTCATAGCAATGGAAAATGATTTGACAATCTGAAATGTGGTTCAAAATAGCTGAGCTAGACTAATGCCAATTCAAGAGAAATATTTTCGCAATCAAGTGAATATTTTGAAAAGTTCTTCTTAAAAGTAATTCAGGTGAAGAATACCCAAGTTATAGGCAATTAATTTTAAAAATAGAATTATCTATTGCTAATCAATGGTACTGAACCGCACGAGGTGAGCAATGCATGCGAATTATTTCGAATATCTGCGTTCATAGTTCTGATGTGGCCAACATAATTATCCGTTGTCTATAAAGTGAAATGCAGACTATAAGCAGAGGCACACTTTATTAAAAGAAGTACCCAAAGAGCGTTGCAATTAACATTGTATTTGAAGAGCAGCGTAATTAGAAGTAGCCAACGAGACGTTATCATGGCAACTACTAAAGCGATTATCAAATTCCTTAGGTCGTATCTTTATGGGTCAGTAATATTGTAGAAGTGTTATGTGAACTATAAATTGTACAGTATTTAGCCAACAAGCTCCGAGCGGCAAACATGAAGCTTTACGAACTATTGGCTATAATAATTTTGATTGCTCCAACTAACGGGGCCAGCTTCCTTAAGAAACGAGACCAGGAAAAGAAAGTGCGCTATGACAACTATAGCGTGTTTAGGATTAAGTATGAAACCTCCTTGCAGCGACAGAGTCTGCTCGAGTTAACAAATATAAAACAGAGTGTAAGTACTACATTCCTACTACTATATTTCACTCAACATTTCGTAACAGTTTAAGCTGTGGCGCGACGACAACTCTGAGTGCAATCTGATGGTCGCTCCCAGTGCAATGCCTCTATTCGAAGAAAGATTAAGAACTGTGAACGTTACGGCTGAAATGTTTATTGAAAACGTGCAGGAGTAAGTGCAGTTAGGTGAAATAGGTAATTTACTGAAACACATATTCATTTCAGTTTGATTGATCACGAGAACGAAGCGGACACAAGAGCAGACGCGACATTTGGCTGGACACGTTACTATAACTTGGCTGAAATCGATGCTTGGCTAGATACCATGTTGGCTGCTTACCCAGATGTTACCTCTGGCTTTGTCCTCGGTCAGTCTTATGAAGGCCGGGATATACGTGGACTACTAATATCATACAAATGGGGTAATCCTGGCGTGTTCATTGAGTCTAATATTCATGCACGCGAATGGATTACCTCCGCCACGGCCACATGGCTGATCAATGAGCTGCTCACCTCCAAAGATGAATTGGTGCGTGAGTTAGCCGAAAGCCATGATTGGTACATAGTCCCAGTTCTGAATGTGGATGTATTTGTTTACACACATGAAACGGTAGATGAACTCGAAACTTAACTTAAATTTATTATCTTCAGTTAAATTTATATTACAGGATCGCCTGTGGCGTAAGACGCGTCAGCCCTCGCGGATTTCGGATTGCGTTGGCGTTGATCCAAATCGGAACTACGACTCCCATTGGATGGAGAATGGTGGCGCCTCATCGAATCCCTGCGACGAAACTTATGCTGGGCCACAACCCTTTTCTGAGCCAGAGATTAAAGCGATGTCGGACTTTGTTAGCATCCTCAAGGATAAAATTAATGTTATGCTTGCCTTTCACTCCTATAGTCAGCTTTTGTTATCCCCTTATGGCCATACAGCGGAGGAGTTTCCAGAAAACTACGCTGATTTAATGCAAGTTGCCAAGGCTTACAGCGATGCCGTCCATCAACTGCCCTATGGCACTATCTACAAGTATGGCTCATCAGCCGGCATTCTCTGTAAGTTAAACAAATTCTTTTATGCCATAGTACTAGATGACGCTGCCATTTCAGATCCGGCCTCAGGTGCCACTAACGACTGGGCATACAACGAGCAGGATATTAAAATATCCTATACCATTGAGTTTCGTGACACTGGGAATTTCGGCTTTGTACTGCCCGCCGCCTTCATAAAGCCTAACGCCGAAGAAACATTGATAGGCATCATGGCGCTCCTGGCTGAATCCAAAAAGTTGGGATACATGGAACCCAAATATACGCGGAATTAAAAAAGTTGTTTTATTGATTTCTTAACCTACCCACTATGGAGCTCTAATTTTTAATGTTCAATCAGTCCTCAGAAGCTCACTTTGAATAGGAGGTAAAGACTACTCTTTATCGAACCGAGTTTGTTATGAGTTAGTGAATTCTATACCTTTAAAAGATAAGAGTCAAGCTTTAAAGATAATGTTACAAATACTTAATTATATGGTTAACAAATGAATGGAGCATTTGTAAATTCTTCAAGTTATGGGATATCATTAAAGTGCCTGAAATTAATGAAATATTGAAAAGTTGCTTAAAAAAGCTTGTGAGCTGCAGAAGCAGAAGAACCAAGCGCAAACTATGAACTATGTGGCTTGATGAGCTTATTCGTTAAATGGGGCTTTACTTAAATAGGAGTAAGTAAAACCGATTTCAGTAGCAAGCTGCTCACCTCCAAAGATAAAGTGGTGCGCGCTCCAAGCGAAGTAACTTATTCTGACTGGTTACTTACAGGATCAAATGGGGCGCCAGAGCTAGAGGCCATCAAACAATTTAGCATGCATCGGCGTGGACTTAAATCGAAACTTCGATTCACATTGGATAGAAAATGGATACGCGTCAAGTGACCCGTGCAGTTAAGTTTATGCAAGAGACAAGAGTTGTCAAATTTTTTGAAGAGCATTGAGAACAGGCTGAATATGTTTGTAGCCCTTCACTGTTACGGTGAATCGGTTATTTTTCCTTATACTTACCCAACTAACAAGGTTCCAGCTAACCGAGCTGATCTCAATAAAGTGGCAAAGGCGTTTGTGGATGCAGTGAAGGAAATGTCCAAGGGCACGTGATAGAGCTACGGCTCTGAAAAGAATACTTCGTGTACGTGAAGGAAACTGCTTACTTCTATTTATGATGAATGAATGATGAAATTTCGTTGATTTTACAGATTGAGCCTCATTTGCTCAGAAGTTACGTAGTGGCAAATCGAATGGCTTCCACTTAGAAGAGTACAGAGAACAGTACACAGAACCTAGTGCTAGAGAAGTTGTGAATGGTTTAATAGCCGTGCTAGTTAAAGCTAAAAAGTTGGGCTATCTCGAACTAAAATATGACTTGGAAATACCACTTAAAGCAAACAGCAATAAATTAATTTAGATAAGATCTACATAAAGGAATGTTTTACAGAGTGCAGCCCAGCTATCAAGTATAGATTTGACTTCGATATCGATCAGTCCAATTTCGCTATGCGTTCGATTTGGGTGTTCGCCACGCTTGTAGTCCTAGCTAACGCTGGGATTCTTAAGGACTCGCCAAAAGTGCGCTACGATAACTACAGTGTCTACCAGCTGAGCATAAAGAACAAAGTTCAATTGTCGCTTATAAACAAGCTGAGTGAATTTAGCGAGAAGGTATGTGAAGGATTCAGCGCAGTAAGCAAAGTTTTGAAACTTTTGTAATTACTTTTCAGTATAATGTTTGGAGGGAGTATGATGAGCACTCCAAGCAAGTAGACATCATGGTCAGCCCAGCTGACTTGAAGCACTTTCAGCTGGTGCTCAAGCTCTATGGCATTAGCAGTCAGCTCTCAATAGCCAATGTGCAGAAGTAAGTACAAGCATAATTTCGATGGGCGATAAGGTGGAGAACTGCCTATTATAAAGTAGATTACTTGGTTTTTAGGCTTATCGATGACGAGCAAGTATCCAGCAGAGATAGCGGCACGTTTGGCTGGAAGCAGTACTACGAACTGGCCGAGATCTACGAATGGTTGGATAACATTTTTTCCACATATCCCGACGTGACCGAAGAGTTCTCAATTGGTAAATCGTACGAGGGTCGAGACATTCGCGGCATCAAGATTTCCCATGGATCAAATAAGCCTGGCATTTTCATAGAGTCCAACATCCACGCACGTGAATGGATCACCTCGGCCAGTGCCACCTGGTTCATTAACGAGCTGCTAACTTCCCAGAAAGAAGAAGTGCGCAAACTGGCCGATAGCTATGATTGGTATATTATTCCCGTGTTTAATGTTGATGGCTTTGAGTACTCCCATCGATCCGTAAGTCAATTTAGATACATGTCTCATGTGTGAAGTGTGCAGCTAACTGATTGCCTCTTGATAGAACCGTTTGTGGCGCAAGACCCGCCAACCACACGCTACCTCGACGTGCATTGGAGTCGACGGTAATCGTAATTTTAATTCGCATTTCATGGAGAATAATGGTGCTTCGTCGAATCCGTGCAGCGAGACATTTGCTGGCGAGGTACCCTGGTCAGAACCAGAGACAAAAGCGCTGTCGGACTACCTAACGACCATCAAGGACAAGTTCAGCGTGTATCTCTCATTTCATTCTTACGGACAATGGCTGCTTTCCCCTTATGGCCATACGGCAGACGAGTTTCCTGAAAATTACGAAGACTTACTTCAAATCGGCGACGCCTTTTCCAGTGCTATCAAAAATTTGGCCTACAGCACTGACTACGTTCATGGCTCCACAGCTTCCGTACTGTGTAAGTTCATTGACTATCTTACTTGAGAACAAACTTAAAGGAGACTACCTTTTTGCAGATGTTGCTTCTGGTTCGTCGGTTGATTGGGTCTTTAACGAGCTGGACAAAAAAGTGGGCTTCACCATTGAGTTTCGAGATAAGGGAAAATTTGGTTTTGTATTGCCACCAGCTCAGATTCTGGCAAACTGCGAGGAGCTCATGGCTGGCATGGTGGCCCTAATCGAGAAGACAAACAATCTGGGTTACATATAATCCAATTTTTATTGCCATGACACTTACTTATCAATAAAGTACCTCATGTAGGACGTTAGCAAATCATCCATCTTGTATCCTTGGGTGGTGCTGCAAAGCAGCTTCGCGGCGCCTATCATATTGCCAAACCGTATGTGAAAATGATTCTTGCCAGAGCTCCACATGCCCAACTCTGAATAGCTGTGGCTGCGGAGCAATCTTTTTGTGCTTGCATCGACCAAATGGAAGCCTCCGCTGTTTATGGCAACCAATAGATTCTCGGGCAACGACTGATCATTCAGCTGCTTGATAACAAAGAACGTGGATCCAAAACACTGTTGCTTGGCAAGCTCCTGTATAAACATTAGTTTTGCCTCCTTTTCATCAAGTCCAGCGTCCTGCTTGAGAATGGGCACCAGCTGTTGATGCCACTCGGCAAGAGTTTGCAGTGGCAGCAAATCTTCAGGCACTAAGCGGTGCAAAAGATCATGAAGTGGCACTTCTTCGCCGTGGTCTGGATCCGCCCTGTATATTAGGGTGACCAGTTGGAGAGCCATCTCCAGTTTAATGTCATAGTGGCCTTTTAGATACTTATGCAGTTCCTGTGGGTAGGTGAAGATCAAATCCGCATTGAGATCTTTGCCTGGCTGGCAGTCAATCCAAAGCTTGCGCATAAAGTGCAACTGATAGTGACCATCGCAACTGGAGCGAATTGTTCTCTGCTGGCGCAAACAGCTCAACAACTCAGTAATGAAGTCGAATACAAACTCAGCCTCGGGCATGGCATAAATCTTTTCGCCCATCTTCAGGAAGATGCTGTAGCCCAATTGGGACTTCAGCTCCAAACGCTGCGCTATCTTCGCGATGAGCTCTGCACCTCGCGTGTGTGACTCGATTTCAAATGCCTCGACCGTATCGTCAGGGAAATAAATCTTATGATAAATGTGCATACAACGCTGCTGAATGCCCTCAACCTCGATTAGATGAGGCGCCTGTTTTCGCTGGCCATGCTGCACCGAACGTTTCAAACGTCGGAGACACGCCTCTGCCAGGGAATCGTTTCGCAGGCTCAGGAACAAAACAAGTTCGCGCATTATAAGAACACTCGGTGACATGATCCCTGTGGCCAAATAGAGCAAGTCCCAGCCACGCTGCTCACTCACCTCCTTGGGATTTGCGCTCAGTTGCTTCATCAGCTGGCAAAAGACCTCATCGCACACCAAAGGATCTTGCAGTGCCGGTTGAAAGATTAGATCCGTGTTCACCGGCAGATTACCACGTGCAATGTCGCCCATGTACTTAAGGAATGTAATAGTTTACGAACAGTAAGACAACATATGTATAAGCTCACCTTTAGTATGTGATGATGAACGACTAGAGCCTGTTGGTACAGATGGGGCTTGGCATGTAGAGACCTAAGAAGCGGCGCCTTGAGCGGCTCAGAGGAATATCTCCATAAAGGACACAGCTCCGATCTAGAGAAAACATGTATAAATAGATGAGATTAAATTCTACAAGCATAAACATACTCAAAGAGCTCCCTAAACTGCAAGTCTGCAAACTTGGCCAAGCTATGCTGGCGACGCAGCGAAGAAGTTGTGGGCGGCATTGAAGTGTTTTCCTCTAGCAAGTCGCTAGTTGTTCGTTCCTTGAGTATCTGCTGTACGTGTGAGCTGGGCTTCACAAGCGTGGCTAGGATTCGAACGTTCCCGGCTGCAAATAGACCCCACTGCCCATTGCAACATCCTCGCCAGCTGCATTGCGGATCGCTTGCCATTAGTTGAGCACCCATTACACCAGCCTCGAACTGAATTAGATCTCCAGTTGCTATTGAGAGCTGTTCGGTCTGTTCAGCTTGTTCAATACTTTGAATGACCACGCCATAGCTGGAACGTTGCTGCAAATTAAGCATCATGTAGTCAATTAGCTCGACTGCATCACGAGCCTCGCTGGACTGGAGCACGAAGTTCTCCTGTTGCGCTGTAAGCACGTGCATCTGATCATTGGCCTGGTAATGAACTTTGATCAATTCGGCATAGCTGCAGGATGCGAGCACCTGTTCCGTTTCGTCAATGAGCGAGACTCCTGTAGCATTGATAGCTAAAATTAGATCGTCCCTCTGCAGTTTCGGGCCGGACAGGCGCTGCACTTCGAACAAGCAGGAATGACGCATGGGCCAGGACAGATGGGCAAATAGACAAATGTCTTCCTTAGCACGCAGCTGCGACTCCATGTCTTGGCCCTTTTTCACATAGGCGCTACTCTCGTACATGGTAGCAATCAGTCGACTCCAATTGTGCACAGCGCGTTCACCCGGTGCCAGCAAGTCGTGAGGCACAAAGGCCGTCAGTTGGTTGTCCGTAAATCTAGTTACTGGTCCTGCTCCCTGCTCGATGTAGGTGGCCAAGGCACAGATCATTGCAATATCCTTCTCCGAACGACAGCGATATTCGCCACATTTTAAGCCACTCATAATCTGCTTGTAAATGAGATGAGAAGCCTTGGGGTCCAGGGTGGGATCATACCAGGCACCAAAGACTTCCTTGCGCAGATACAGCTTCCAGGGCGCATCCGGCTGCTTCTGCTCACAGCTGGAGATGGCGTCTAGGACATGTTCCCTCCCAGCGCCCAGTGGCATAAGCTTCTCATCCAACGAAAGGACTAAGCCGAAGCCAAAGCAGTCGGTTAGACCCAGTCCATCGCATAGCTGCTGAACCGCTTCTCTGGCTGTGCTGGCTGCATCTACCTGCAATTTACGCGCCTGGCCATCCATCAAATAAATTGCCAGCTTTAGAGGCTGGCGACTACGAATTGCCTGCAACTCGAACAGCGACGGCGGCTGTGAACGCGATCCATTGGCCAAGGTGCGCTCCAGATGCTGCAAAGATGGCACTGCGTGCAGCTTGGCAGTGCCCGCCTTCAGGTAGCTGCGTAAATAGGGCTCGAAGTTCAATGTGGGTGGAAAGCAGCTCAAGCAGAGCGACAAAAGCAACCAGCCACGAGAGAGCGAACTTCGACTGGGATTAAGATTAAGCTGCTTGCATATTTGTGCCAGAATTTCATCTCTGAAAGGTAAACAATAAAGTCAGGTATATTTATAATGGAACTATAATAATAAAATATGATAATAAATAATAATATAATAATTATTAAAATTAAATATAGTTTATCGAGCTTAGTCGCTGTTAATAACAGCAGCTAGTTTACACTGCTTCTTTGAATCCACTGTCCAAGCAGTGCAAAACATAACATTAGTTAACAGCAGCACTGCTTAGAACTGCTTAGCTAAAACTAGTGTTTAAAAATATTTCTATATTAAATTCACTTGCAATCAGTATAAAAATATGCTTTATGTCCATATACGCGACTTACCTTAACTCTTCTTTCAAGATGCCATGTCCGATGACGAAATGAATCTTATCCAAATGGCTACTGCCGGCATTTAGCCAGAGTTGATAAAACTCTTCAGCAGTCCTTTGGCCATTTACGTTGCTGAACGACTTTGGTAGACGTTTAGGAGTTTGCCGCACAAAGCGACCGGGCTTGGCGCCAAAGAGAGATGCTATTTCCTGCATTAGTTGTGGACTACGCAGAGAGTGTGGGGTCGGGCTGGGCGCTGACTCTGGCAGATCACCCATAAAGCGCAGAATCAGTACCCAAATGGCCTAAGAGAGAGAGAGAGAAATAATGAAAAGTCTGGCAGATAGATTTAATTTTATCGCAGTCACTTACCTTGGCAGCCATTTGATCAATGGGCAGATCATGTTTTAGTAAAGGCTGCTTTAAGGGCTTCCTTTCATGCTGATATGTGGTACCGCTGCTAAAGTATGTGGAGGCAAATTTTAAGAAGCTAAAGTCAGAGGTGTCCACATGTCGCGGTGTTGGCTTGGGCAATCGAATGGTGCCAGCGGAGCTGATGCTGTTGGTCTTCTTTAGATTAATCTATTTAAAAGAAGAGATATTAAAATAGTATGTTGTACGTGTAAATCCCATTTCAGATAAAAATTAGGAATAAATAAACATATAAAACAAAAGCTAAAATTTTCAGTAAGGGTATTCCGGAACGAACTATTTAACTTTCAATTTATAATTTTGTTAGATTTATCTCATACTTATAATATATTTTGTCATTTTAATTTTAGACAGTTATAATCTATGAGTCTAGGCGCTTTGGCCTTTCTTTTGCAGCAACAAAGTCGAAGATTTGGCCGTTCGATAAGAGTCTGAATAATATTTACAATCATATTTTATTTAATTAATCATGAGTGGTATTACGCTTTGAAGTTTTAATGCTTTTGATAGCGATAGTGAGGGTCTTCTTTAATATTTCTTACTATAAAGTCAGTTGCTGCCTACACTTCAAGCTGTGCGTTTGCGTTTATAGACTCTAACTAGCGGACCTCGAATGAAATTTAAGTTTTTGTTAATAAATAATGACATTTGTTTTGCTTTTACTGTTGTTTCATTTCAAAACTTATTTTAATTTCCTTAATTTGTAGTCAAATATTTTTTAAAAATATAATTTTCATTCAAGTAATTTGTGTCAAGTCTTTTCTCGCATGTCTATGAATCATAGAATATCTATATATATTAATGGAAGGAATCAGCACACTCATGTTCCCATTAAATGGAAAATATCAAATATCTATGTTTTTCTTTATATCAATCTATAAATTTATATTAAATTATTGAAGTTGGGTATCGGAAATATTAAGGTAAGGTAAATTGAAGGTCATGAAAACGATCTGACTTTCATATCCCACACATCGACCAACGAAATAAAGCTTAGTTTACCCAATGACTACGCTATGAGTATTATTGTAGTTGCGCGACCTTCCCATACGATAATAAAAAGCTATTAAGCAATCTTGAGAGCAATCAAATTTTATAGATTATAAAGCTCTAATCTGTTACCCTATACTATATGTAAATAATGGCCAAAGTAAATTGAAACTCTTATCTCGAACATTAAAAATAAACTGAGAATGAGAACAATAAGTGTTTCAATTTCCGCCGATAGTGCTGCAGTCCAAATATATTTCAGGCAACTGTCTGGACATAGACGAGACTAAGAAGCACAGTATGAAATGACCAAACAACACACTGAAACACACATGGGAGCTCCGTAAGCAACTACCACAGAAACCACACTAAAGGCGTGTAATGAAGAAAAGACGTAATGGATTGCACATATCTCTAAATTCCTTAGATATTCACCACCGAAGCGGCTTTTATTTACAAAAATGTGTATAATTTATAGGTTGGTACATAGAAAAAGAATGATCACAAAACGAATCGATTGTAAGTATGTAGCATATACACATATATACACATATACAGGTGTATATACATATACATATATGTATGTAAGCCGACATTAATATAACATATGTACAGGTGAAACACTCTCCCATGGCATACCCAACCAGTGAATCGATTGGAAGAGATGCTTGCATTAAAGGAAGAACATCTTTCAATCGCACTTCCTTAGATAATATCAGCTATTAACTACTTAAATTAACATATAGTCTGACTAATTTGTTCAGGGCTGCCCGAGCACTCGCAACTGCTAGAGGCGCGTCTGATCGAGAATCTTTCGAGGCGCTGCCTCATAGTAGTTGACAGGGCGGGACAGCAGCTTGGTGGGGACTTCTTTGCGCAAGCGCAATTGCCGCTCGAATATCAAAGACTTCTCCTTAACATTCGGCCCCAGTGGACCACTCACATCGGGCTCGTCGTTGAGGAAGCCAAAGACATCGTCTACAATCTGCTTGGATGACTCCACGTCCATGTAGCCAGGACTATCAGCAGCATTGCCATTCATCTTGCCACCATTCGGCACAACTGCGACATTTGCGAACATCACTGGGGGTGGTGGCAGCGACATACGTGCTTGCAGCGTGGGTGCAGGCAGCGCATTCTGCCTCATCTGTGGCTTCTCTGCTTGCTTTAACGACTTTGTGCGCTTGGGCTGTTGCACTGCAGCCATGGCCAGAGCATTGCGTGCGGCAATCTGCTCTTTGAAGCGCTGCTCCTCTGCCTGCTTATTCTTTAAGCGCTGCTCTGCTTCTGCCTGCTGCTGCTTGACACGCTGCTGCTCTAGCTTCTGTAGGCGCAGCTGCTCTTGCTCTTTCAATAACTTTAGCTGCTGCTGCGATTCTTTGTGTTTCGACCGCCTATCCTGTAGTTCTAGGCCGTAGCGTTTTCGAGCCAGATAGCCGCGACTCAGAGCCTGCAGTTTAATCATGCGACTGCGCACCATTGTAAACTGTGTAGTAAGCCGCTGGGCTACAAGGCAAGCACCCAATCTGTGGAAGCCGCGTTGCATGGTCAAAAATCTGCGCCTGTCAGCACGACCACGCCAATGCCGCTGCACTGTGACAATAGCCACACGATATTTCTCCATATAGCGACGGAAGAGCACGCGTCTTATGCCCCTCTGTATAGTAACAATGTATTTAAGCATCACTCGTGATCGTTTCGCCTCTAAGAGTGCATCATCCTCATCCCGCAAGAAGAGTTTCGTGCGTCCAAATTGTCGATCCGCGTCAGCCGACAAAGCCGCCTCGCAAATCTGACGAGCCAGCAACCGGCAATCGCACTGGTCCAGAGGACCAGTCCGCGGCACCAGCAATCGATAACGTTCCACGAAGGCTCGATACTCGTGCCGTATGGGATAACCAGCCCGACGGATGCGAGCCGTTTCCATCATGCCAGAGTAGCGCAGCTGACGTACGCACAACTCCTTGTCAAAGTTCTAAAAAAAGATAGAAAGCAAAGAATGAAAAATTAGCATTATATTATTGGGGGAGAGGACTACGACTATCTATATACCAACACTGGCAACTCTGAAATTTCGATTGTATCTCTCAGAGATTTGGGCCCACTTACATTAGGTTCCTTGTACTCATTGGGCTTGATACAGCGTATGAAATAGGGATGTGCCTGGGATAAGGTACGCATGAGCATGTCCAGGGAATTGCGAAATTTGACGCATAGCGTGGGTTGCTTCTTAGCCGTGTCCATGGGCAGTTCTTGAGGACATATGTCGACCAGATACTTGTTGGTGGAGCGCTGTACGAGGTTACGCAGATCACTGCTAAACGAATCACGATTCTTCTCGAGAAAGCCCAATGGATTGTACATAACGACGCCAGCATAGTGACGTATGCCGAAGAGCGAAGTTTGTGTCGTCTTGCCCTTGACGTACATGGACCGATTGCCGTGCTGAACGTGCAGCTTCTCCAGCAGCGTCTGATCCGTGCCCTTGGGAAACTTGGACTCCTCATCGATGAGCGACATAATATTCACAGGTTTCATGCCAATGAGATCGAGTATATCCTGATTGTCCTGAAACTCGATATGCAGCCAGTTAATGTGCTCCAGCTGATACTCTGCCTGCTCCATCTGCAAGACTAAAAGCATTAGATATATACTTTTTAGACGTGTTAATAGCAAGCTAGTGGATACCTTGAAAATGTGACCAACAAAGAATTGCTGCAAGTTCTCATTGGCATAGTTGATGCACAACTGCTCAAAGCTGTTGTTGTCAAAGTTCTCGAAGCCAAAGATGTCCAATACGCCGATGCTGTTCACTGGCTGCACCGGCGGCTTGTTGATCGTGTCATTGATGCGTTTTACAATGCGTACGAAAATTCCGTCGTACAGTGCTTTGACGAAGGCATCTCGTCCCTCCAAGGCAGCCTCCTTTGATAGGCTGGTTACCACGTGCTCGCCATGCACAAAGATCGTCCGTTGTGTGAGGGCCGCATTGAGAGGCGCCTCTGGCAGCCCCAAAAGCTGGGCTATGCGCTGCAAATTCACTGGATCATCCACCTCGGCGGCCTGCAAGTTGGCCACTTCCATCGCCTTGAAGCGCAAATTGCCAAAGTGAAGTATGGCAGCCAGGAGGCTGAGTATGCTCCAGAGCTCCTCTGGCTTGAACGACAGCACCTTCATGGCAGCCCGTATGTCTGCAAAGTCCTTCTCGTCCTGCTTGCCTGGCAGCGCAAAGCAACCGCCCTGTGCCAAATAATGGTACTGACTGGGCGACTGCTCATGTAGCTGCAGTCTTTCCCGCTCGGCAGCAGTCAAGCCAGCCAGCATACAGTAGAAGATGTGATAGTTGCGCTCCTCGCGACTTTGAAACACAATGCGCGACTTTTCCAGCAAATACTGCTGTATGCGAGCACCCTGTATGGACCCTTCGGGTGTGAAGCGTATGTCAATGTATTTGCCAAAGCGGGAAGAGTTGTCGTTGCGCACGGTCTTCGCGTTGCCGAAGGCCTCCATTATTGGGTTCGCCTCAATGATTTGCTGCTCGATCCATGAGTGCTTGCCACTAATAGCGGCCAGATATTGTAGTATCAGCTTGGTGCTCTCGGTTTTTCCCGCTCCCGATTCGCCGCTAATGACGACGCATTGATCCTCCTTGAGCCGCTGCAGGCGCTGGAAGGCATTATCGCTAATGGCAAAGATGTGTGGAGGCAGCTCATTCAATTTCTTATTCCGATACAACTGAATCTCGCGATGCGTGTAGATGGGCAGTATCTGATAGGGATTGATGGCCACCAGCATCGACCCTGTGTATGTCTGCAATGACAAAGCAACTATTGGTCGACTAGTCGAAAACTCAACCCAGTGTCTACTTACATAGATGAACTGTTTGTCGTAGCGCGTCTGTAAGTTGCGCAGTATGGTATACTCCTGCAGGTCGCCGAGTGTGATCATGTCCTCTACGTCCGCGTGGGAGGTGACGTGCATGGCCTTGAGCACATCTCCAGCCGGCACCCAGAACTGCTTTTTGCCATCATCGCATATCAGTGTCTGGGTCTTTTCTGTGCGCACAATGCGTGCCCCGAAAGGCACAGCGAATTCGCTGTTTGTGTTCTGCGGCTTGACCCAGACGTATTCGCCCTGCAATTGATCATCAATGTGGCTCAAGTGAGAGATCTTATCAATGTAATAATCAAAATGTTGTACACGCGCCTCACTTCAACATAAACGATTAGATATCAATATCGAGACTTTCCAGGTGGGAAACATATTACCCAATGTCAAGGCGTTTCGGGTGTTTAGAAATCGATTACTGCTCTCATGTAAAGCAATTAATGTTGCCCCTATCTCTGCCTCAAAAGTTGACATTTCTGACAGCTACCATAATTATTGGCGCAACATAAAATTTGATAAGATTTTATGCTCATAGCACTTCATAAATTTCAACATAGGACAACATAGAAGTGGGAAATTAGATTAAAATATTCGATTTTAGTTTTCTGCTCAAATACAATTTACAATTGAAATAAAATTGTTATATAAATTCTATCTTATATTACCATATCATTTGGCAAGTTGTTCAGGCTTAGCAATAAAATGATGGCATACAAAATATATCTATACTGTAGATATCAGTCAAAGTATTAATGAGACTTTATCAAAGTTAAATAAAGTCTTCCAGGTCTTCGACATTTATTTGGTAGCTTATTTAAATACTGGAGCCCGCAAACGGTAGCCATTAGGCATACAGTTTGGGAATCACATATGTATGTTGCATGTGCTTATCTTATCGTTGGAATGTCGATATACAAAAGGTCTTATCGGCATTTTACAATCGAAACGGAAAACATGGCACGGCAACAAACAGCTAATAATTGCCAAAAGGAAAGTGGGGAAAAACAATCTCAGCTCCAATAACCACAGAGAGTTTTCCCGAAAATTTCATCTCAAGCGAGCTGAATCCATGCAAAGTAGCAGACGACGGTGCATATTATAATTTATTATATATTATCTAACAAAGTCCCTGCGACCTTGTTTATCTATAATAACATAAGACACACCTGTGCCAAAGTCTGTCTGATAACAATATGGCTAATAGCTACCGAAAAAAAGGAAAATAAATAAAGGCTGCTAAGTCCACACTGAAAGGTTGATTCCTGATTATAATATTCCATTGTAAGCGTGATTTTCAACTACTGCCTAAAATATGAGGTCATCCTCTGCACTTTGCTCTGCTGTATCCATATCAAGTTGATGGATTTATATTTAATTGCAAACTAATTTTTACGATGATCTAATTATCGCATTCACCAAGTCATAATCGAACAAGTGGGCTACAAATTTCAATTGACAAATTTTATTTAGACATGCTTATGGATGGATAGGAAGCACTCAAAATTGTGCTCCAATGACGTCATTAGCGTCAACTCTGAATGGGTATCGACTAGTCGGCTATTGCCACTACTCATGCCGACAAATTGATAAAGATCAATCAAAGTCAGCAGTCACAGTGGTTCAGCACATAAATTTCTATGATTTGCTAATCTTAAAACAAAAGAGTTCAATATTGCTTTTTTATACAGCGTATCTTAAAGTCGTTCATTAGCCACTACAACTCTCTCCACACATTCTTTCGATAAGAAATACAATTGGCTTATCATGTGCTTGCTTTAATTGGAAATAACAAACTTTAAGCAACCCGTCTTCCATATATATAAAATAATTGTCTTGATTATAGCTCGCAAAAATTATAAAACAATTATAATTTTATTCTTTATGTATATTTAAGCAGAAAGTTGCTCATATATTTAATTCTGACTTTTTATATTATTGAGAACTTACATGTTCCCTTAGAAACTCAGACATGTTGCTTATTCGATTGGCGGAGATATAGAATTACGGAAAGTTTCGGATAGTTGACGCCTGATGGAGCACTGCCGAGACACACGCGCCGTGGATTCTTTTAATTGCTTCACAAATATTTGCCCAACGATTGGTTTTTATTTTGACAGCCGTTCTCACTTTTTCTTCTTTTTTCGTATTCGTTTTCGACCGTAAAGTTCTGTTCGGCCCGGAGTCTCGTTAACTTGTGAACGGGGAGGTCTACTATTGTAGCCCTTGCTGTCATTTCATTTCTTATCTGGCAGAGCTGCGGCGTCGGCGGCACAGTTGATATTGATAATGAATATTGAATATGTTTTTGGCAGCCCCGTCTAACCTTATCGCTTCGCTTCGCTTCGTTTCGCCATATGGCTAGCTTCGATCAAGTGTGCAAAATTTTATGAAAATTTATATCGAAAAACTCGGACAGGGCAAACAGATTGCAATTCACTTTCCGCACTGTGAAATGCAAAGGAAAGTCAAATAAATGAAATATATCTACGAAAGTCTATCAGCTTATCTATCGATGGGTCTAAACATTCTTATCGGCCAATGAGCCAATCTAAGCGATGATTATAGCTAACCATATAACTACGTCTATGAGTCAGTCATTATTGTTTAGGATGTTAACGCAAAACTTTCAGCCACCAAAGCTATTTACTCACGACGCGATTAATTAGAACATTCACTATAATACTATAAAATTATATATGAACTTATTAAGAAATCGATGGTTTGCCATTTGTCACGTCACAGCGTGTCAGATAACATACAACTGTGTTTCATATGCAAAACTTGCAATATTGAGAGCTTATCAGACGAGGGTATATGCCATTATACCTTCCAAATTACAAGTTTCACGTGCAAGTCTTACACAAAGACAATATACTCTTTTGGCTTTGTGAATGGGTATTTAACTGAACAACTTAATAAATCTAACTATTGAATAGGCCACTCTTCTCATAAATACTAATATATCTCATATAAGACCTATACACATACATCTATATATATAGAATCGCTGATCCGAAATGATTTACAAAATGGATCACATTTCTAATCAATAAAGCAAAGTGTGACAAGACCTTGATTAATGATGTATTTTCTGCGCAGCAAATGAAATGACTTTAAGGTGAGCAAGTTTTGCTTGCTCTTCCGTTATTAAGTATGTATACTAATGTTTAGTTATAGCTACAAAAGTTTAAAATTAGTGATAGATCCATTTTTATGAACTCAATAAATGCTACAAAGCTCAACTGCGGAGTTTTTCGGTTTTATTTAGTTAACGATTTGTCATAGTGCTTCCTTCTGTTATCTCCACAAATGCCAGAGTCCTAATCATAATGTGCTTGTCATTTATAAAAGTCAAAGTTAACTACCTTCGATATCAACAAAGAGGCATTTGCGACCATAAACAAACAAAAAGATTTGGGAACATTCAGTGAATCAATTATATTGATAAAATTTCTATTGTTATACTCTTTGAATCTGAATTTTAATCTTTAAGTCTCATTACTTACACCAGAGTTAAAGGCAAACAGGAAGTCAAAGTCACGTCACGTCCGTGATATTGAAAACAGATTTTTAAAGTAACTATAGAGATATTTTATTCATTGTAATCAACACTCTGATTTATGGTCAATAATTCATGATGCAACAAACAATGTAAGCAGTATCTTGGTTTCCGTCTACGAGCTGGCTATAACGTCTCGCCTTACAATTACTTGGGCCCTTTTTCAACGGCCAAGCGCCGCAAGCCAATAACAAATATTCATTCATTGTTTCCCGTAGATAATTTGCTGAAACGTGGACACACAAATTGTTGTGCGATAAGCCAAATGGAATTTTCAAGTGTTTGAAATACATTTTATTGCTTTACTTAAAGAAATGCGTCTGGTGAGCAATTTAATGGGAAGTATTTCGATTTTATTCAGCTGTGGGGTATTGGAAGGCACGTAAGCTGCGCGCTCTAATATCCTTGAGGTCCTTTACACCGAACAAGCTTTTGCTTTATGCCTTAAGTCAGTCCTTGGCGTAATGCAACGAACTCGATTCCATCCCCTTCAGCTGCATTAAAAGCACATTTAAGATAATCCTGTATCCTGTATACTGAATCCGCAGTCCAGAAAATATGCTTAGCCAAAGTACCGATTGTCGGCTCCGCGTTTGACCCAATTTGTGGAATGCATCGAGTGAAAAGCACAGCATACCACGCTCAATTTAATTATGGCATGGACAATGCCATGCAACAGCAATGAGTCGTGACAAATGCACCAAAATATTTGTGTGTGCCGACAAGGTCGCCCATAAATTCAGCCATTGATGATAACGGGGCGTATACGCGATGTTGTCGTGCAAATTGTTTTCGCGTTCGTTTCATGCTGGCCGCCTAAGCAATTCGCCACGTCTGGTCACAGCCAAAGAGAAAGAGAGAGAGAGAGAATGACACACTATGCATACATATGAATGTATTTACTAGCACAAAGTAGCAGCAGCAGCATTGTTACGATTGTACTGATAAACCCTCCAACGATGTCTTTTTCTCTGCCGTCATCAATGCGGCTGCCCCTCGCTATCTTCGCCCCAACCAGCGGGCACGAAGCACGTTGTTGACCTATATTTGGGCATCAATGAAATGCGAACAGCGGAGCGAACAGGCTGCTTTGACTGAGTAAAAGCTGTGCGAATTGCCGCCTGCTTGTTACTTAACTGGAAAGCTCACTAGCAGTAGCAGCAGCAGCAGCAGCAGCAGCAGCGGCGGTTGACACTCGCAGAAAAAGAGCTTTCCGAACTGGAAGACTAACGGCTGTGGTCAACGCTCTCTTAACACATTTGACTAATGTCAAAACAAGAGTGTGCAGCACATGATAACAAACGAGTCAAAGAATATAGAAGAAACAAATTAATTCAATTAAATTAAACCATAATAAAGTATTTTACAATCAAGTTCTTCATATTGAAGACTCACATGAGAGGTGAACCTTAACTTTAACACATTCAAACACACAGACAGAAACAGCTGTGTGACAAGCGATGGGACAGTAAAGGAGCACAGTAGAGCAAAAGTTCCGTTAGGTCATATGTAAAAAGCTCTAATTGTTGTTATTATTGTGCATTCTGGAAATGACACTACAAACAGCTGGAGCATTCGAGAGAACTTGCGAGAGCTTTCGTGCGAAACGGAATGGAAGCGGAACACGGAATAGATGCGTTGGGCGAAGGCAACTACACTTGGGGAAAGGGTGTCAATGGAAATATAAACTTTATAGATACGAAGCACACACGCACGAGAAGCACGAGCGAACATCAAATGTCGGGGAACTTGAGGAAACTTGGTGAGACGAACTTTCCACCAGACTCGAGGAACGCCAACTTTTCAATTCAGTTCGAGTCACGCAGCGGAGTGGACGCTTCACTCTTTTCTCTCCCGCAGACGGTAGGCGAACGCGCGCTCATCTCAACCTAACGTGTTGCAATCAAAATAGATAGACAAGGATATTAAATTTAGTTAAAGCACAAACGGTGCCTAGTTTGTGTTTATTTTGTTGTGCGGAACAATATCGCCCTCCCTCTCGCCCTCTTTAATCACATTATATATATACATACATTTAAAAATGCAATAAATTATTTAAGGCATTTATTTCGTTTCGCTTTCGCTGCTTTGGTTGCTATTGGTGTTGCTGTTGTTGCTGTGGCTGTTGCTGTTGCTGTTGCTTTCGCTGCGCTCGCACTTGGCCCATTGGCCCAGTCCCCAGTTCCCGGTCTCATTGCCGAGAATTGAGAATTGTTTGCCCATTTGCCTCCAGCCAAAGCCAAAACAACAACAAACACTATGCCCCAACTCTCAACATACGAACACCGAATACCCAACCGAATACCGAACACCGAACACACTGACTAACGAACACCGCGCACTGAATCCGCGAATAGAGACCACAGCGAGGCGTCATTCATCAGTCGCGCGAGAGCAACTGACCGTCTCTGTTGTACTTTTATCCTAAACAGGTTTTTTGGCATTTACTGGAATTGAAACAGTCGCGGCACGTCAATTGCAATTGCACTTGCAACTGCAGCCCGCCCTCAGCCTCGAGCCAATTCAATTAAACAAACGAGAACATCGAGACGAACCACAATAAAAGTGTCACAAAGTAAAGCCGCTCGCTGGTTGCTCCTCCTAATATTCCTGCTTGGTTACAGGTGAGTTTTACCCATCTACTTCTTTGCTAATTGTAGTTTCGACTAGGCTGAGCCAACTGACCCAATTGCAGCTCGGCAGGAGCAAAATCAATTCTTTGTGTATTACATATACGCTGAACAGCGGCAAGTAAATAAATTGAAAATATTCAATAAATAAATATAAAAATTAATTAAGAAATTAATATTTAAAAATTATAATTATTTATAAATGAATAAGTAAAACATATTCTATTAAACATAGAATGCTGCTTAGCTATATAGAAGGAATTTAAAGACATTATTAATACTGTATCTAAGCTGATTATTCTGACCTAAATCATCAGCCTGAATAGTTAGAAAGCAAATGTTTCTAGAACATTGTGAATCGTACAATAATGAATATATATTAATAACTTAATCATGATCGCAGAATCAAATACATTTCCATGTTTACTAAGATATTCAATGCCTTGCTCAAAAATCTTCAAAAGATTTCTTGTTAAGTTTAATATTGACTTTGCTTACAACTTCTTAGTTAACCGTGATAAATTCATCACCTATGCAGCTAGTCGCTTCTCGAAAACAATTGAATTATTGACAAAACTTTTTTTGATAGCAAGCTAGTGCTACTCCTACTGATAATGAGCAACTGAAGCTGGAGTCATTATAGGATTACTCAGTTTACCTACAAGTCACGGATCAACTCACTCACCATTTCGTTAAGCTCTGCTCAGAAATGAAACCTTTCTCCTGGATTGCTTTTACGTTAATGAGAAAGTTGAGTTGATTCGTTGAGCATTTGCGAGTTGTGCCCACTTGCAGTTGAAAGTTGAAACTTGAAACGTATTATGAGTGCACATTACGTATACGCCCCAATGCATGCAGCGTAGCTGAGGTTGCGCTATCATTTTGTATAAGAGGTCAATGCAGTTGTAGTAGTAGAAGTTGCCCGCAGCTGAGTTGTATCCGAAACTTCCTCTAATTAGACAATTAAATTGTAGTCGTCAGGGCTGGCGTCTGTAAGTTCTTAGTTCTTCGTTTTTC